GTTTTCATACAGTATCTGTAAATATAGCTAATTTACTAAAACTCTTAACTATTAGATAAAGATCTAGTGAATATATTCCCATATCATTGCTACTTTATTAAATCATTTAATAGTCAAGTATAGTAGATCTAGATAGTTAGGGAAATTTCTTTGTTTATTGTATACTTCAAACGACATAGGTAATGATACCAATGTTCTTGGAAGTTCTTATGACACGCATATTTTGAAATAAGATTTGCGTTGTACTCAAACAAAAGTAATCAAACTAAAGAATAGATATTTATTAGCTTATCTATTTTATTCCATTCTCAATTTTCAGCATACAAACAGAAAATATATCCCTTGACTACCTTTGTTCGATTTAAGTCGATATTAAACAGTATCTACCTCAGACTAATAGTCAATGAGGATGCTGTAATATATCTTGTTGTAACCTTCATAATAGCTATCATGGTATAGTTAGTTATTATTGAAACCTGATAGAACGACAGATAGAAATGTTATCATGCACTCATTCTATAGTTTTATATCGTAGAAAGTAGAAGATTAATATAACGTTTCAACCACTAAGTCTTCATTGTTAAAAATAAGCGATAAAGTTTCAAAAAAACCAGTCCTCTCTCGTTATGTGTTTCTATTCTCCTATAGTGTTATTATTTAGAATTACGAATTATATACAATATTTACGTGCTAGATTGTTAAAATTATACCGCGTTTCTATATAGACTACAGACCTTGAAAAATTTCATGTATTGATTTAATGGAACTGTATAAAGTAAAATGAAGGATAGATGTCTACCATGAAGGACATTATCGTGCAAAACGGCATCAATTACCGGTACTAGAAAAATTTAAAAAGTCTTGATATCGTTAAAAAAGAAATTACAGTAATTATTATTTAAATTAAATTTATCATGATGAAAATGTTACGCCTACTAATGCGGCCATTGTTAAATGAAATTTTCTAATTCTGTTATAAGCCATTAGCTAGATTGTCTCCATCGTAAAATCATGAAGCCACGGGAGAGTCGTACGATATTTAAAGTATGTTTTGAAAATTTTCAAATTCAAGATTACTTGTAGTAATACAATTACCTGTAACTAAGTTATATCGCACTTAATAAAGTGGCGCTATATTATTAGTGGTAGCCGATAATTTTAAGCATTCAAAAATGTGTAAATTTTAATAAAATAAAAAAATGTACCTATGAAAAAGTTACTGAATGCATTATAGGATGATCTGATGATTGTACTGTTTAACTTAGCTATATAGCAGACAAGGTTAATTCAAGAATAAATATTTTCATTCTATGCCTTTATTTTAACCCAATCCATTATACCCATTCAGCAGACTCAATTTATCGTAGGGGTTATTACTTTAGATAATCAATTCTTCTTCATCTATAAGATGTGTTAACGACCTTTACGGATAAAATTGCAAGCTTGACCAAGTATTAGTGTCGATTGAATTACCGTTAGAATATCTTAACGGCTACGGTGAGAAAACTGTTTAATCTAGGATTATTTATAGAACTAGAATTAGGATAAGAATAGTTCGAAGGCTGAAAGATCAAGCAATGGATGGAAGAGCCCATAATAACCCAAAAATAATTTTCATTTCGTTCTATATCGCAGACTTAGCTTAATCTATTGTATCGCTTGATGGGTTGCACTTAATGTAAGCGTATATTGCGTAAACTGATTTATTTCTTTTCTTACAAGATCATCAGTATTATAAAAGAGCCCAAGAAAAGCAATAGTTATTATAAAATTCTCTACCCTAATTTAGCCTAATCTATCGCACTGACTTGACAGATAGTACTAAGTATACATTAGTACCTATTGCGTCAACTGCTCTATTCCATTTTTGGAATGAAATATGTTTACGAAATCCAAGATTGTTGATAGGAATAGAATCAGCTAAGAATGATTACGTGACAAGAAAGGTTAAACCTCGTTATGGAAGAGTTCAAGATAACTCAAGATAATGTTTTTGGTTTGTTGTTTGTTCCAACAGTAGATCAATTTATTCCATTAATTTAATGAATTGTATTTACTAAAAGCCGACTCATATATTACACTTCAGTGATCAATTCCTTGCCTCATATGTTATTTTCATGATCCCACAAAATAAAAATAGGTGCTTCATCAAGCACAAGACTTTATTGCTATTTCTATTAGAGTAGCTATTGGATTTTAGCTTATAAAATTGATCGAAAGTGTTGCTGAGAATAATTTGCGATTAAATCATTACTATTGAAATAAAATAAAATATCACCCCTATTCATTTTACCAGTGATATCATTTCTGCCTAATTTTTTTAGGAAATATTAATGACAAACTTACCTATTCCCTGTAGTACGCAGAGAAGAATTATTAAAGCTAAAAGCGAGTATTGCTTCATGATGAAATTATTCTTTCTCTTCTACTTGATGAGTTCTTTTAATCGCCTCAGTTACTGTCTACAAGATGATCGAAAATACTTGTCAGATCAATTTTTAATTTGAAATCAAGCAGTTCAAGAAGTAGTGCATTACAGACAGGAGGTCAAATAAATCAATAGAAAAAATTTGAACTGATTTATGCAAAATGATTTGTATTTCTGTCAATAGTGTGGCAGACAAGCATTGATTCATGGCTTTTATTGATTCAAGACAGTTCATTCAATCATTAACCTTCGAATAAAAGTATCCATAGTTAGAAATAACAACATTAACGATGACGACAACAACGGTAAGTAGGTCATCATAATCACGAACTAGACAATGATCTGATCGATAGACAGAACAATATCAATTACTCTTGCACGCGGCATTCGTATTCACCAGATACGCTGGCTTATTCTTCATCAAGTATTCTATGTTATGAATCATCTGTAATAGTTGGCTTTGTTAGCATTTGCGACTAAGTTTTGTATGATGGCGATGATGATGATCAAATACAGACAATAAAGGAGCAAAATATATATATCAATTTTTATTCATACTACAACAGCCTTTAATTTGGTGGAAAGGATTTCTGAAAGCAAATAACAACAATAACAACAATCAGGACGTTGTTATTCAATGGGTTTTTTTGTCGCCTTGAAAGTACTGTCATAAGCAAACAATATCATCGAGATCAGGCCATCGAATATTTGTCGAATCAATTCATTCTATTATCATCGATCCTTAAATGATTTTCTTTTCTAATTGACTTTCATTTAACCTTAATACTCAAAATGGAGAAGGTAAACTATTCTGAGTTTTAGATCATATGCATGAGCTGTTCTATGATATCCCTATCCGATAATTTGAATGTTAAATCAAATTTTTTCTGGTGGTCAATACTTTACAGGGAAAATTATGATATATTAGTTTGTTCATTCGAAGTATTTAACGACTAATGGGTACTTTTAAACTTAATCAATAGCACAATTTGTATACCATCGACCGGTTACTAAATTACAATTGCGGATCGTCTCTTGCAAAGTTACTCAGCTACAAATTACCCTGTAGCTTTTTCTAACTACAAAATAGCAAAGCATCATCATACCTAAAGTGGATGGCAATGTCACAATAAACAGCATATATCAGTTAATAAGTTACTCTACGTTAATATCAGCTTTAGTGAATGTTTATAGAAGTACAATCAAGATCAAGTACTGATTCATTAGCCCTGATTTAGTGTTTAATTTTCTTGAGCAACCAATAATCGGTCGTTTTATATTAAAATTTTTAAGATCAGTTCTGTTTTATTTGCGTCTTTACAAAACAAGGAAATGGCACCGATAAAAGTTAAAGATACCATAATACTTGTCTAGCAATTTATAGATGGCGTACCTCTTCATAACTACTGAAATACAATTAACTGACGGTAATGATTATATTGTAGTGTCTCTACTATATTATAGACTTTCAACTAGTTAGTGGCGCTAATGAAAGATCATACTAACCAGATTCTGTGAAAGCGATAATATAGCAGTTGGATTAAAACAGTATTTAAGGAGGTACAATCAAAGTGTGACTATTTTATACCGTAGTAATAACCCAACGTTTATAATTTTAGAGTAACCATAGCAGATACTTGTCGAACATGTCATAAACATACACTAGCAATGGATTAGATTCCGTTAATCCATTACTATATGTTACAATAACTCTTCGAATGGACAAGTTGAACGCTTGCAACATCAAGCGGGAACTCAAATTGCAATAAAGCTAATTCAATTATCTCGACATTATCAAATTTTTTATTTTACCATCTCCCTACTCACGTACAGCAATGTTGCCACAAAATTATAATGCAATAAACTTGACTATCATGTAATTGACTGCAAGAAATTAATATCGTATCAAAGGATTGAATAATACTTCTTCCATCTGCTAGTAAAATGGTAACTATCAGTGATTGACGCTATCAAATATCGAAACAATATAACGCCACGCTCTTTAGTTGTTATACAATTTACTTGTGCTTGGATGGAGCTACCGGCTAACTAATGTTACATGATGAACAAATATACTATTGTTTACAAATTTTTTTAACAGCCACACAAGTAACCCAAGATAACAATAACTTCATAGTAACCATCTAAATCTGGTTATCAGTTGAAAATGGGAAAACGACTGTAATCCAGTATCAAATCAACCTCTTTAAAAATACACCATTGAATATCATTCTTATATTACACAACTATGCAACTATTAGTGTATTCTCAACAGTTATTCAACTCTACAGGCTATATTTAATTGCCCAAATAACTGCTTCAAGTGTGAAGCTTGAAGGGTTTTCAGTCATCAATACTTTCACTAGGACTACCGTATCATTAACTGGTCATTAAGGGTGAATGAATTAATAGGACATGCTACAATTATATTCTCTATTGTTGATTATCACTACATCGTCGAAAACTATTCCACTTAGAAACTGAAGAGAGAAGAAATTGATTTTTTGTACTAAAGGAATTATTACTTTAATATATAACTTAATTTCTCTTTGTATCTACTAACAGATTGGAATTATGAAAGACTTGCGGATAATTCTGGCATCCATTCTAATTCACCCATATCTGATATCGAATTACCATTATATTCATAGCTAATTCTAAATTTCAATCGAACTTTCTCCTATTATAATGATAGGGTAAATTTCAAGTGAGTTAGAGTTAATTTCACACCCTAGTCTAAGGCAAATAATAAGCAATATCCATAACGAATTATAGCGAAAATGTTTCCATTATTATTATACTATACCATTGCTGGGTTAGCTATAAGCATCACTTGCGTCACAGTTGCTGGTGCTTCAATTGGATTACGAGCAGCTAAACTACTCGCAGAGGGCGGTTGTAGCTTTACTCCTTGTGTCTATCGTACAATAGACGCATTACCATAATTATTATTATTATAAACGTGTTTAAATTCACCAAATTAAAAAATGCGCATTTTGATCTGAAATTATAACCATAACGGATAAAATAAATCACTTACCTTTGGTACAGCAGCCTCAAAGACGAATTTACTAATAGCAAATGGTAAAAAGCTCATGGTTGATATGATATGTGATGTGATACCTTGCATTGGTGCATCCTAAGACATGTAACCGGCAAGTAATCAATAAATCAGTACAACACACCTACAAATGACGAAGGTTTGTCTATATTTAGTTCATTACGAATAAAAATGATGAATCCATCACCTGGGCAGTATAGATTAACGTTTTAATTCCATTTTTATCATAGGCAGTAATAGGTTCAGTTTGGCCTATATTAACGCAATATTAATTTATTTTGCTTTTGTAACTACATTTTGCACACGTACATGCCAGGAAGAAACAGTTATGATCTTACCAGGCTTGATAGATTCTAGTGGAACGGTTAAATTAGGTAGTGCTTGAATAGGGTCTGTATTACTGGGAGATGCAGGCTTTAACAGCTGATTGTCTGACGTTGAAGGGCTCATAGTGCCTGAAGCCGACTTATTAGTATCTAATTGCGCAAGCAGATCCAACGCTGACGATTTTTCTAGCACAATATTGCCTTTGCCACTTTGTTGACTTTTTTCCAAAGCTTCTCGTTTAGCTGCGCTGTAAGCAGTCTCCATGACAGCCTGATTGCCGCCCATAGAGCCAATAAGATTTGCTGGTGATGCATTGTTCGTGTTACTATTAGGCCAACCTGGATTACCACCAAATACTGCATTACTTTGGTTAGGACCAGGTGAACCCATAGCAGTGGATTGCAGGGTCGTATTAGTTCCGAAACCGGACATCATAGGCGTACTTGGTTCATTCATCGACTATTTTAAAAATATTTGTTACTATCAGCAAATTCAAATAGTCTTTACTTCATAATATGCTATAATACACATCGCACAACTTACGAATATATCATGGGATGCTGGACTAATTGGGGTGCCAGGATTAACGGAAGTGTTTGCCGGTCGATTAACCTATAATTAAGTTAAGCAAACAAAGGTCAATATAGATATTAACTGTTATACTGATCATTACTCGATTTCAATTATCGTTTAATGTAAATCATACCGGTTGAGATAAACTGGAATCAAGATTGCCCAACCCAAGCTCTGCTAATTGTTTATCTAACAGAGAGGTATCATTTCCGTCTGGTCTGGCAGGAGAAGCCGACGTTGTCATTGATGCTGTTGAGGAGCTCACACTGCTGTTGAATCCCATATCAAGGAGTAAGTCATTCCGCGGAGGTGCCGCTGCCGGGCCAGGCACTAAAGGCACTAGTAATTATAGTTACATGCAAGATTGTCAGTTAGGTATTCTACGCTGTTGACAGTTTTTATAGCATATCAAGCACATACCATCAGTTTTAGCTTGTGTTAGTAGGACCTCGCTCTTACTAACTTGATTAGTAGTAGCAGCCTTGCCAGCCATGACATTTTGATACCTTTCCATTACGGCACTTAACTCTTCACTGACTTTGATAATATTTTCTGAAAGTATTTGCATATACCATCATTATTTTAGTGTATAATTAATACTTGGCCAGTAACCGTTAGCAAACACTTACGTAGCAGAGCTTCGTCAGACTCAACTTCACCAGCATTTTTCTGTAACTGATTTCGAATTTCTTCACAAGAACGGTACAATTCCTATGACATTTTAAAAATAAAACAATATATCTCAGGGCATGTTTCATTCACTTTGTATAATTATGATATAATAAATAATAAGTGATTTCGGATACTATTCTACCTCCATTGTTTCCTTTTCTTGACCGGACGAGCTAGTCGAATAATAATCTAGCATGTCCGACAGTAATTTACCATTATTTCTAGCCCTTTCCAAGTCATTCAGCCGTTGGCTATGCTTTTCTAACTTATGCTGATCCTACAGAATAATTGTACGCAAATCATTAATAAACTCTATCATTCCTTCCAATTACTGTATAATGTCATTCATTAAAATACCAACCTGCTTTACCATATTTTTAATCAATCGATTGGCAGCTTGCAAATCATCAGGATGATTACTCCGTAGTAGTCGAGCTAGATGCTATCGTTAATAAAATTGAAGCGTATGATTAGCATGAATAAATTGAAACCGTCATGTATCGATGTCTATTGATGAATTGCTAATTTCTGATGTATAAAGTATTTACTGTAGTGAGATATATCACTACTAATAGACAGATCTTGCATTTGCCAAGCTTTGATCCGATTAATAAAATTGCACGATACCTTTGATTTTTCATCATCTTCAAAGATACTCTTGCCTCTTGTGCGCGATTCAGGTGAAGTAGCGTTAGGAGATTGTGCTTGGTTGGCATTCACCACCTATATAATTGTGTATCATTTATAGGAAATTTAATATATTATAATCATCGGAATAACTTTTCCTCGGTTTCACCTTGTCATCTTCTTCTTCTGTAATGATACCTATTGAATTAAGTTACAAATGATACGGCCTGATTAGTTCAATACATTTATAATTTTATTAATAGTACTGTATAGTGAATTCGATGGTAAAAACTGTCCTATTCCTCCAATGCATTGATATGCTGTAATCGTCCAAATCTAGTTACAACAGCTATGACTACACTGAATCAGTTAACACCATTGATACTATGACAAATTAGTTTCAACCTTGTTTTAATAACATATTCAGCGCTTCTATAATTTTTGGTTCGGACGGGATATTTCTACTCCAGTTTCGAAACAGCGTCTTTATTCGTTTTTGAACTTGAACAGGTGTTTGCATTGCTAAGTACTAAAAAGGCAACGGTTATACAGGAATTAAGAATATAGCATTTAGCTAAGACAAAATGATATAATTGCAAGTGGCTATAAGGGAAATTGTAGGCGAATTAACATTGTACCGTTCTTATTATTTCGCACTAACCTTGGGTGAAATTAATTTAATTAATTCATTTAAAAAGCGAAATTTGCCAATCTCTTGCTGGAAGTCTTTACCACAATTAACAGCACAAGTATCTAAAACCTAGTTGCATTATGTGTATGTTCAGTTTTAGTTGATGCTCGATTCAAGGCCATGTCGGTATTTTCAATCTGCAATCGTACTCTATTGACTTACCACGATAGTACGTACGGCGCAAACTTCATTTCTACTCTGCAATCCGCTCAACAGCAGGCGAACAGCAATCATAACGCTATCAAGGAAGATAAAGTAGGTTTATGCATTGATTGGCAATAGTAGAAGAAATACTTTTCAAACAATTTGTATTTAAGATTAGTAGCAAAAACCCAGAAGATGGACTACGTTAGAATAAACTTGTGTACACTATACAGTATTTCTATTGTAGGGTATCTTCATGGCTAGCCTATTGAGGTTATATCACCAAAAATGATTGCGTTAAGCCATAATATAAAACTCTTTTTCCTACAAGTAATACCGTAGCGCATAAGAATTTACCCCTCTTGTGTCGTCTTTACAGCTTCAACAAAGGTCATGATAGCTTGCCAATCTTCAGTTGGAGTGCTGGCATCGGTTGCTTTTTCTACAAAGTTTATGAAAAAAAGTAGAAAATTAATGATACTATTGATTGCAATCTGGCAAGCAATGATCCGTGTATTGCCCTTTTCGAGTTTGTTGGAAACGAGTTAAAGGGAGGTTAGCATCATTATTGATATTGATAGAGTGGGATGACGGCAGATAAAGAACGAATTTATCGGAGAGTTTCAACATTTTTTGAATGCCGAAAAGACAGTAGTGGTATTAAATCATTGCTATCCTTTTCTAGTAACAGTAGGGAGAGGTTGATATCATCCTTGTTGCTTTCAAGCCCATTGAATATTACATTGGGGATTCCAGCAGACGAAAAGAAATGTACGACTAGGATATCGGCATAATTTTACATTGACTAGAGAGTCGGTAGGAATCATTCATGGTTCTATTAGAGCCTATTTCAACATGTACACTCCTTTGCGTCATCCCTACAACGAGGAATGAGCAGTCCTTAACCTCTTGGATAATTAATCAATTATTAACGACAATAAATCGTTATCACAGTCATAGGTCAGAAAATCATGCCCATTCTTCCATCATTGAAGAAAGAATTTATTCTTTCATGGAGAAATGAGTAAACTATATGCCAATGAAGAAGCAGATAAGAAAGAACTATTTGTTATCTATCCTACATTGAACAAGTTTATTTTAGCTCAGAAATCGATCTTGAGCTACTACAACATGTATTAATTAGTCAGGGTGTCAACTTTAACCATGTCAATGGCTCTCATGGACTTGTTGGAACGAAAGAAAATAAATTGTGTGAGTTCATTTTGCATTGGATCTATTGATTAACGATGACATTGATGTGAAAATTGACCAACAGTAATGGTATTTGGACATCGTCTACGGCATAAAAGACTGTCAAAGGAAAGTGCGGCGAGATCGATGGATGGTGATGATAGCCATTATTAATTCATGGATAATAAGGAAGTGATGGACAGTGTTGGAGAGATTGTTACTGTACGATCCTGATTCGACGGGCAATCAAGTGATTATTCGATTATTCACATTGATGTGAAAATTGACCAACAGTAATGGTATTTGGACATCGTCTACGGCATAACAGACTGTCAAAGTAAAGTGCCGCGATCGATGGATGGTGATGATAGCCATGATTAATTCATGGATAATAAGGAAGCGATGGACAGTGTTGGAGAGCTCGTTACTGTACGATCATGATTCGATGGGCAATCAAGTGATTCTTGGCTATGGATTAATGACTGGCATAAAAATGAAATCATTATCGATAGATAACTTGTCATCGTCACTGGAAATAGACTAAGACAGACGTAGACCAATTTCCTTTAGCCTTGACGATTGTCTTTCCATCAGTACGAAGTAGGACTACAATGATGATGGTGGGATCGGGAATAGCCAAGAAATGCAGGGTGATTGTATGTTATGAAGGGGTGAAAAAGATGATTTTATCATTGGTTTACATGGATAAGATGACTGAGAATAGTTTTCAACACAATCAATGCTTAATACTTACTAAGTAAGGTATCCAAATGCCTTACTGATGCCATATCACTAGCAGGAGAAGCCGCCATGTTGTTCCTGCCCGTTGACTCCTTGTGACCACCGTGGCTGACGTCACACCAGCCTAGCCACGACACCAGTGTCGACGGAAGGGGAAGCCTGACGTCATCTAGTACAGTGTACAGTGTACAGTACTCAGTGAACTCTTGTACTGTACTGGACAGTACTGTGAATAGTCAGTTAATATGACCAAGCGAAGGTTCCTACTACTCTTAATGATGGTAGCATGGAGAAAAAATAGGGAAGACGTCGTTAAAGTTATTGTAAAACTACCGACTAACTCTTATTGGATTGAAAAACGGCGGGTTCGATAATGCACTGTACAGTACTGTACTGTACGTGCGCCGTTCACACTTACAGTACAACGCAATGTACTGTACAGTAATTGCAAGTTTGTCTTATACTGTACTGTACGTAAAGTTCAATTTTTTTCTCAACTCGATGTTGTTGTAGATTAATATTCAATAACTGAACACCATGATAACAACTCAAAAACGAAACACCATAATGTCTATGGTAATGTAGATTCATATTCAAAAACTAAACACCATAATAAAAACTCAAAAACTAAACGCCATAATGTTACCATAAAGTCTTTGGTGTTGTAGATTAATTAATTAATATTCAAAAACTAAACACCATCATAGTGAATAGATTCATTACAGTAGATTCATGATACTGTACTGTAGTTTGGAGTACATTGTACTGTACAAGCTTTCGGTTCTGCGCGGTTCGGGCTGCGTCAGTCTACTGTCTGTCAGTGTCTGGTCTATCTCTGGCAGCACTCTGACACTCTGCCATATCAATCAACAACTTTTCAGTCATGCTATATAGTCAACACCAGCCATTGCAGTCGTGTTGATGAATGCACCCTGCAGCAAAGGACATAGTCCACACTACTGTAGAGAGTGTACAAGCACATTCGAAAACAAATTTGAATTGAAAAATTCATTTTTTCACTTTTGTATTCAGTTAAGTTTAGTTCTCTATTCAAGGCATCAATCTGCCATTCCAGTAGACGCAGTGATGCAGTCAGTCATGGACTCATTGGACAGCGCACCATTGCACTGCCAACGGACCCACTAGCCAGGCAGTCAGGCACGAACATGGGCGGCCATTTGGGGCCATGGCGTGCATGGACTACTGGAGAAGACGACGGACTCGGTTTCAAGCCTTCCGTCTAGTAGTCTGTCCAATCTCCATGAAGCCTTCAACGGTTCAACCATCAAACGGGTCATGTGTTTGATGAATGACCCAACGACTGCAAGCAGTCCAGAGTTCAGTACTAGTACCAACGTTACAGTGGATTTGTCACAGTACAAAGTACCTTGATTACAAGGTATGGTACTGTGAGAGGAGTCTAAAGTACTGTAGGTTGCTTCGAATCCAACCTAGAGCCGTGAGCAGGCGCACAGTGCACTGACAGGGTCGCACTATACAGAAAGACAGGCGTGCGGATGAAACCACGGAGACTCTCCTCCATGCGATGCAAGCTCACAGCCAAAAGGATTGATCGAGTCCAAAATGGCTGCTTTAAAAGAGTTCTTACAAATGAAAGTTCAATTCAATGAGGAGTGCCAAAATCAACATATCATGTATTATAAGAGACATACTGTACGACAAGAGTGCCAGGATATTCCATCGAATAGGACGTTATTTATTATTAATGTACCTCCTTACTGCACCAAGGTCAGTCGGATAGCCAAGGCAACCAACCTTTCACTGACGACAGTCCATCTTCATGCCTTTGCTAAATTCCAATAATCACTACAGTCGCTCATCAAACTGAAGCTAATGTTATAAAGCTAAAATCTCATCTTTTCTATTGCATATCCATCTATACTAGAATATTCTACGGCAAATATTTAGCCTATTTGGTGAAATTGATGACATCTATCAATTGAGACAACCTGCCAACACCATTCCACAATATGCAAAAGAGGATAGCTCAAGCTGCTTTCGTCGCCAACTACATACAGTAAGTAGCTGTGCCTATCTTCATCTATGAAGGGATATCAACATAATCGGAATAGTTGCAGAATGTAAGATAATATCACTGTTTTTACCATGTGAGTGAGTGAGGGATACCATAGAATCTTATGTCTACTCGATACCAAGTCCAACTATCAGGTCGTCAACATGGATTAATGAATAGGTTATCCAATTGCCATTCATAATCTACTTTTCATCAAGTTATCTATGACAATGTCATCCATTTCTAGTATGTAGTGAATACATTATAACTATAACTCACGACAGGAAAGAATAAATCATAACAAAATAGAACTGCATACGTTGCTGTGAACGTGGACAATGATAACTGCAATGTGCACAATTACACACTTTCACGTAATCATACGCTTAAGAGTAATATACGCGTACACATCATTCCAGTTTCTGACGTAGATTAGCTCTATTATGTTAACCATATTTTACAACTAATAATACGACGCACTAAGAAGACATCACAAACTATTCTGCCTTACATAGGGATTTAGGGTAGCCTATATTGTTTTCAAGACTCCAATCAGCCTGATGAAAGCTCTTAAAGAAAGCTGTGATGACACTGTTGTATTAGCAAATCTTGAAGAACCACCCTTAGTAGGCTATAAGAGTAAGTTGACATACCCTAGTTCAAATTTATAACAGTAATAGAATGGCATTACTAAAATAAATATCTAGGATGATGCATTAACAAAACCGCTATTTTCATTTTCAGAATGGTGCCAAGAGTATGCCGCAGAGAGACCAGCGCCACAATTATTGCAATCAGAAATTGATCAATTTATGGAAGATTTTCAAAAGCGAGAGAAACTCGTAAGTCGTCCATACTGTACATATACAATTATATCACAGGGTAATGGATCGAATAGCTAGATATCGTCGTGTAACTGTCTTTTGCTAAACTAAATGGTACGAGTGTTACGTTTTTAGGACGAATCCCAAAATTCGAATGAACCTGATGATGACGGCTGGGTCACTGTTAAACGTAAGAACAAATACCCAATATTCTCAAATGAAGATCAGGAACAACAGCAATCGAAAAAGAAAAAGAAAAAGAAAACAGTATGCATTGCCCATCTGCTTATGAAAATAATTTTTTCAATAGTATTTTGGAAAGTTCAAAGGGTAAGGTTATTAAAATAATATTTGAACCAAAACTTCTATGTTATTTTACAGGACTTAATCAATTTCTATCGATTCGAAGTAAGAGAATCCAAGCGTGAGCGTAAGTATTATACTACTCGTACTTAGTTGTTTATACTCTCCTTAAAATACTGTCAATAATTAATATTCAATCAAAAATAATAATACTAGATATTGCCCAATTACGAAAAAAGTTTGAAGAAGATAAGAAAAAGATTGCTTTGATGAAAGAGACTAGGAGATTTAAACCTTATTGAGTTACTTGGATACCATTACCTGACAATGCAAGCTTGTAATGAATTATTAGAACCTCCTGTGGTAACTAAACCCTAATGAGTTATGTGCAAAGGAGATGCCATGATTGGATGCTTTAGCTCTACAAGTATTCTCACTTATAGTCTATTATTTGGTCAAGTTAATGTTTTTATCGACGGCTATCAATTTTCCGCATCATTATATAATGTCAGCCGATATGATGAGATAGAATAATTATTGAGAAAGCATCCCCACCCAAATATTGCATTACGTGTATTAGATTGTGCATTATAAAATTTTTTGCAGGTTTGATATAAATTATGTGTATATAGCCACTGAAGCTTTGAACGTATTACATCCACGCTGTTAATATACTTGTGAACTTATATATTTATACAAGAAGATGATGGCCCATTTTCTTAGCATAATACCTTTCTCACCACAGTCATAGGAGTTTAACATCTTTGTATATCAGCAGTCAACAATACATAAATTTAAACTTACTTTCCAAATTTATTGCTGTATTATGATTTGTACAATATACAAACAGTTTCTTTACTTCAAATTGATAAAATATATTCATCATATTCTAATTTTTAAATGTTATGATCTCAATTGGTGTACGCAAGCTACGCCATGTACTTGGTTGTTTGATTTGATATAATGTTAATAAATTGGAAGACTTTCCTTCATTCAGGACATCGATGAATATATATAAAATCTACTACTGCGTGCAATCCTAAATGCTGATTTCGTCTGTTTTTCTTCTAATAGTATCGAAAAATAATGGCATTAGGTTATTCTATGATACAATTTATCAATAAAATTTAGGAATCTTTCTATAATAGTAACCGCTATCTTAATACGTAGGTTATTTAAAATTTCGTCAAGCATTTTATTCGTCAACAAGCGATCGATAAAATAATCACAACGATGAGTATTTCGTTCATTTAAATTGAAGATACATCAAGTATAGACTTATACATTAACAAAATAATATTCTACAAAATTTCATTAATCCGCCTAATAGACAAACATAAGTATGCATGAGCTATTTATGACAGTTTATAACCTGTGCAAACCATTGAAGTTGATTAGAAATAAATAATGTAATATTTATAGCACTTTTCTGGATATAAACACGGCATTTAAGCATGTTATTTTAAAGCATAATAATATTATAACTATAGATAGTTCCTTAATGTTGTTGCATGAAATAGTTAAAAAATCAGCTATCACCAACTGCATTGTGCCCTCCATCTGTCGTTCATAAATACAGTAGTCTAGATCCAATCTATTATCATGATTATTGAAATAGATTGTGCATCTTCTAATCTTGAAATGGCAACAGCTATAAGTTATTGCAGCCTGTGAATGTATCTTGATGACTACAACAGCTCATTAGCATGCAACAGCATGCTGACAATAGGTGGAAAGAATTTAATCTCTATTAATTAATGCGCGTGCCGACAAGAATAAACTATCGCTGTTTTGGTATCTTGATATGAGTATCGATGACAAGTTTGCGTAGTCTTCCCCTACAACTATTCAATATTACTATCGAGCTCATTATTTAATATTCTCCTTATATCAACAACGAAAGCCATGCTGGGATTGAAAGTGTGGTACAAAGGCAAAAGCAGCTTCTAATTGGGCAAGAAATTGGATACTGACATATGCAATTTTAAAACCATTCAATTCTATGTTGATTTAACATCTTTTCTTCTGATTTTGGATATTGTTGTCATCAATTTAACTGTATTGGCTTAACATCACCATAGGATTGAGTAGCAAAAGCACGCTATTAATTCTTGTGATCTCGCAAGCTGCCAACATTAAGACAGAAGGAAAGCAGTGCATAACTTCAACATGAACTCAATCCAATTCCTCGTCTTGGTTATCGCCATCCTTTTCCATCTTGCCATCGTCTACGCTGTCGATGAAGCTACTTTTGTAGGAGATGACTACGAGCTAATAGATCGCCATAATTTACCACTTCGCTTGGTAAGAATTGTAAATAGAAATAATAACTTTAGTTTATTACCGATTTTTTTCCAGCTTGTGTAACAGTATTTGAAAAAAGATGATTCTCACTTGAGCATAATAACTTCAACTATTGGCTACTTTAATCGAGATTTATATGATCGATAAATAGTAAGTAAAAGTGCTGGTATTAGATAAGTCTCTTTCATTACTTTGTCCTTTACTTCGAAAGAGTTGGCTTTTATTGACAGTTATCCCTAGTAGTGGACTCCTGAAAGCGCATTTTAATATCTTCACTGCTACTTTTTTTGTATCTGTTACTTGAAAAAACAATAATCTTAACGGCTACTGTTGCAATATCTTCATTCTATTGCAAGCAGAAATTTCAATTCATGACCATCATTTATGCGTAACATTATATAAACGCGCTCTTCATTGCCCCATAATTACTACAAATCAACTGCGCTAACCTTTATTAATAAAATCCAATTTCGTCTTTCTAATAATCATTTAGCTATAGTTTATTTTTGTGGGCTTAAGTAACCAAAATTTCGATTTCAGCCTTCCTGCATATAGCTAATACAATTAAAATACTGTGGTTTTGTTTCGCATTTTTAGGTTGATACAACCAAAGTTTTTATTCTAGCTCTCCTGCACAAAGCTTTCGAAATACGGTAGTTTCTTTCCTAGTCTGTCGTATAAATCTCATCTTTTATTTTAAATTGTTTTTCAAATTATTCTTTCCCCACTAAGAAGCAAAGATAGGCGTCTTAAACAGTGCGAATTCTGAATTATGCCTTCTACCGTATTAGTATCTGTTACTCAAAATCGTTCATTTTAATAATATCCGAGTATTAATTCTATCATATGCCATCAATTCTACGAGATAAAAGCCATTTCGTATTCGGTGATTCCATTCCATTATTGGGTAAACTTCTTAAGTCATTTTAGCAAGAATGTTAGACGCACTTAAGGCCGTTACAATCGTTTTTAAAAGTTATAGTTTTAGAGTAGTAGGCATCGATGCTATCACTCGTTTTGTGCAAATCTACTGCTCCTATGCTTTAAATCTACCTATGATAAAAATACCTAACCAGCTATAGCAGCAATTCCAGAATCCTTTGCAATCACTTCAAGTTCGAATATATATTCGAAATAAATCATGTCTGAAATTACCTAGATCTAAGTTAATACCTACCGTCTAAATTCCAATAGACGAGCCGTTATATCTAATTTGTAGATAGACTGTGCGTATTTGATGTTCTGATGTTAGTAACGTCTATCGAACAGTATCAAAAAGAATTGAAAGTTAAAATTTCAATCTCTCATTTTCTTTTAGAGGAATATCTAACTCTTGGGTCTCTGCTATATCAAGACATGGTTAACGTGGTCGGAAGACTAACGGCCGCCAAATAGCTTGATGATCAAGATAACATATCGTAGCTGTAACTGTCTTAGAAGGGATAGGCAATTGATACTAGATTATAACATTTGCCGACAGTGAATAGAATTGCTCTAACTCGATTTAAATGGTATAAATCGTGGAATACCATTAGATGAAGCAGTAAATGGCCATGTATTTGTTCTTAATCTAGATAAATTGTGACATCGATTGTCATAGTTTCTGATCACTACTAAAATTAACTGTAATATTCACTAAATCGATGTTTATTCTGCCTACATTACTAATAAAAATACAGTTAGATTGAAATTTTTGCCTATTTAATATATAGTCTAAATTTTTGAGCTAATAATTTCAAAATTTCTTGCTCCAATCTTGATTGATATGAAATGATCATGGCTAGTAAAACAAGTAATAACATAAGATTCTTTGAGAAAAACGAGCTATTTCATAAAATTATTTTACTACCATTAGACCCGTCTTTTATATTAAGGCTTGAAAAAGAAACTTTAGCAGATATCTAGAATAACATCCTACTGACTCTATTTATCAAATAATCGTAGTGCGTGGAAGTAAAATACGCGTATACCTACCAAAGCAAATTAATAGTTATATTACATCTTGATCAGGTATCCTTGCCCCTTTGAGTATGCTTAAGGTAGCTTAGAACTAGAAGCATACATTGCATAAATTTCTAATATACTGAATTAGGTATTGTACGGTATATTAGATACTTAAAATATGGCTCTATACTTAATAAACTACGAATAGTAACAATGCTCAATCTGCAGAAATGCAGTTAGATACTAGAGTGCTGATGAATTCTATTTAGCAAACTATAATCAGCTGAGGGAGAGGAGCCCAACTCATCAAACTACATGCAGGTTCTCTGCAATTTATCTGCATAAATGACACGATATTGTCATCAATCTCTGGAAATTTAAATAGATAATGATATGCCAAACAAATTCCTATGGACATAGTACACCTACTGTAATGAATATTGCTTCTATCAACGTAAGGAATTAGATTTCACTTTATCTTTCATCAAATATAATTGCACATTTTAAAATGAAAGCGTTGACTATCTTTATTTTGAAACTGTTATCATGAACAATTTGATCGATGCCTGATCCAAATCAAACGTAGTTCAGTACTTATACAAAAAATTATCAGCTACATAAACCTTCTATCTAAATACTATCAATATAAAAGAATATGATAGAAAGGAGTTTCTATTTCGATCAATCTAGCGAAATCCTATCCTAATTGAACTTTCTTATCCCATTTACACCATTTGGCTATACAGTGTAATCTAATGTCTTCATATCTGAAGGCTATTGAATATTTATGGGTTAAATGATGAATGTTCCGATGGAATTAAAACATGACATCATTTTCTCCTGGAATTTCTTCGCGTACATTCATGCCTTCATCGAATCGAACATGGGGAACTGTATTTAGGCGAACTCGTACTGGTACACCATCCTCAAAATCAACTTTATTGGTGTCTAAATTAAAGAAATAAACAAGAACACTTAATATCTACAAATTTATAAACCGAATCTAAATTAAGCAATGATAAGCATCGAGATTCGACCGTTACTATCTCGAGCGAATCCAAAGATAAAGCTCGACATGGGTAAGCTACCGCGTAAATCTCTTATACTGATTTGTAGCACTGCACTGTTCTTACAGCTTTAAAAGTTAAAAGTTGTCTATTATCGTGAAGAGATAATGGTCTTTCTATTTTAACTTTTAGTTCATAACAGATAATTTATGAATTTATACTAAATAAAAAAATATACAATATTGTCATTATACTGCTATTTTAAAATTCCTTTTCAATTTTTTTGCCTACCTTTCAAGGATGTACTTTCTGCCAAAACTAGGGCAGTGATTGCAAGAAATAGTAGAGCGAACTTCATCTTGAAAAAATGCACCTATGAAATTATGGCATAAGAAATAGATAAATATATATAGTGAAATTAAGAAAATACTATAACTATCAAGATGGCCGTAAAAAGTTAAAAATAATCTTATTTCTTGTAAAGCACAAATAAATTACATGTGAATTAGCATAGAGAAAATCTATCGAATTTCGACTTTGCACTATGGATTATAATCATAGACTTAAGATAACTTCAAGTAATCAATCAATTAAATTTCAATTGCATAGACAGTGCGCTATCAAGATTAAGAAAACTGATACAAATATGTAAATTCGTAAAATATAGTTTCAAAGATGGCCGTTAAAAGTTACGACACCTGTCTCCTCTCAAACTCGATAAAAAATTGATTTAAACTGGTAGTTATATACAAAATTTAAAGTTCCAACTTGGCAATAAACATTACATGCGTAGCTTTGAAGCAATCAAGCTATAAAAGAAATCACCTCAATTTCAATCCTTAAGTAAAAATCCTACCTTAGAATCTTCCTATAGGGATCAAAATCCGTCGGTAAGAAAACTGAAAAACAATCATTCAAGCGTAACTATCCTGTCTTGTGACGAGAATATTTTAATTTATGCTAATTTTAAAGTAAATTAATAATGCAGACATCGCCGCATGTTTACACAGAAGTGGTTGGATGACAATGCATCCAATGCATGAGTTCAACGTATGCAAGGGCTACTCGTCAGTCAAGATATAGATTATTCTCCCGTATAAGCGTCAATAGATATACGCATATTTCGTTCTAATATTATGAAAAGTTTTTAGTTAATCAATGTATAGAAATTATCTTTCGTAAATTATGTAAACCTATTCTATCCTAACAGTATGGAATTGCATTGGATAAATTTGAAATGCTCACCTTATTTGTATACTTAATTGATATAAGCATATCCTAGCCAGATCGAGTCCTACGGCAACTCAGGAAATACTCTACAGTTTTTGCAGTTGCCATCACTGTTTCAAGTTTTATTAGGTACTATCGATAGGTATATGCTTTACCGCTAGTCCAAACATGACGATATATCGTGTGACAGTAATTCCTCTAGCACCTGCGCTATGGAATTTCTGCAAATTTAGTCTTATGAAGCTACAGGAACTATCCGAACATTGGCGGTGATGTTCCTTTAGGAAATTATATCAACATCATACATACGGTCATGCATTAAGATTGATACGATGATAAACTGAAAGGATATAAATTATAGCGGGAAACATTTTATCGATTTATCATAAGTTGTCTTATTAACAAATGCAAGACTGCATCTAGGAGTTAGTTATCTTAAATTTATGGTACAATATTGACAATTGATTGATTGATCGTACGAAGGCAAGAAAAGTCGAATCTTTTAGGAAATGAAATAAATTTTCGGCGACATTGAGCATGCAATATAAATGCATGCCAATTTAGTACAGATGTAGTGTCGGAGAAAGATTCACTCTGCTCTATGCAAATATTTAGGCATTAGTGTCCCTTACATTATAGACCTAAGCGTCGCACATTGTAGAATTTACACAGTGAAAAGGGTAGCCCAAGGATTGCATCGAGAAATACTCCAGATATTTTTGCAATCTAACTCTACATCAATAAATTTATCATGCCTCTCCGGCTAACAACGATCAATTGTATGCTATTGCAAAAGTTAACAATAATTCGTGATCCACAAGAGATGTTCATTAGCTGATGTAACAAATTTTTGACCAAAATAAATAATTACGACTTTGCGAGCCGGATGAATGTTCCCCACAGCCTAATCAAAAATGATTTACAATAAACAAATGAGCAATCTTGCTGCAAATAAGGTTGAATATTGAAAGAAACGAATGTACGGTATATCAATACCTAGTTTTAGGCAGTGCCTCCATTGTATTATTTATTTCTTCTATTAAAATAAAGCAGAGCATTTCGTTAGTTGATATTAGTAGAATAGCTTAAAAGTCGAGCTTAATAGGCCAACTAAGCTCAATCTTTATTTTAACGATAACTTACCCAATGAAAATTTAAGCTGATTAGCAGAGAACGCAACTTGCACAAATTGTGTCAGTCTGTTTAGTGACCATTCAACTAGTTTATCTGTGTCTGGATCTATTCATGGATGGCAAATAAACATTTAATTTACCGTGTCATATTACTCAAACTAATAAAATTTCACACGTGACAATGATTATTAAACTTTTACTTTGGCTAGACGATGATGTTGTTATTTGTTGAATACATTTTTGTAAATCCACAGCAATCTCTTGCATCATATTCAATGAGATTGTTAGAGTAGGCGGAGAATTCTTATTAGGTATTTCTGCTTCTTTGTGATTACTGCACTCTGACAATGCTTGAAGTATTCCACATTGAAGCTTTGAACATGAAATATGAACTAAAATATATAGGCACAATTAAATAACCTTAATGAATTATCTTACATCACAGCTTGTGTGCAACATTTAAATTATTTAAAATGATGGCTGTTGTACTATGCGAATGTTTAGTATAAGGTAATAACCTTCTTCTATCGTTTTAACATTAGCTGGCTCATTACGGCATATATACAAGAGAGGCACTAATGTACTCCATCTGGCTAAGCCATAAATTGTTGAATGGATTTCGCTACAGTCCATTTTATCGTTTTCAGTTTTTGATGAATAAAAATGCGGTAAGTTTTCAGTTGTTTTTGCAACAGTGAAACTATGAGGATTGGAAACAGTCCATTCTGCTACAATTCGCATTAATGAAATCGGTGGTAGCCGTGGATAATTATTATTATCTAATGAGCCAGAGTTACCTTTAAGAGGAATGAGTTGAAAACCATTAATTATCAGTTGCAATCGAATACGAAAGTTACTGAATAATACAATAATAAAATATCGAGTACCTACACAAAATAAATATTCTAACCTGGTTTAATATCAAACAAGAGTGTAAAGGCAGTAATCAATTGAGCTACGAAAGTAGGCGAACAGTTGCATAAATCAAGTAATGTCTGTTGTAAATCAGGTACAAGGAGACAATAATCTGCTAATAGCATTTCCGCAATATTTAAAGAAGCTTGCCGATCCGATGTATTACATTTCTATAATATAGACAGCGAAAGTTAAAGATTGCTAATGTTGATAACACGTGTTTATTTCAAGGAAAACTACTCAACGCTAATTTCATCACAAGATTAACTTAAGCTTGTCTACTTGTTTAACACTAAATTTATATACGGAAGACAATGATAAATATTTATTAAATATTTAACCTCTAGCCAAAGTGCAGCTCCATTCAGTACAGGTACACAATTTAAAGCAATGCACATTGATACCATTCTACTAAGGACTGACATCTTGACTTCTTCTACCTAAGCAAGATTGAACAAGAAACATTACGTGAAATATCAAAGATGAGTAGCAATCCCCATTAAGTGCATTAAACGCTCATTGTACATAGGTGAGCTAAAAGAGTGTTCCGTTTACCTCATTGCAACTACTAGAAATGCCAAATAGCGCATCCAGTATGCAATAAGAAATATGCGATGACTGAATATCATTAAACTGTGTCAATAAGATTTCAAATAATTGCAATTGTTGCATCGCAGTCGTTTCGAACCAATGATTGACGTTTACAAACTTCTTTTTACAGCAAGGCTGAAAGATAAATTTTTCGATCAAGGATTCAATCGTTTGGTTATTTTTAAATTGCTGTATTTTAACAAATTGTTGGACGGTTGATGCATGATCTTGAACATAGTCTTTTAATTTACTCATTAATCGAATAGCACAGCGTGGAAATCCATCTGAATAGAGTAATTTCTCAAAACGTTGGATGGTAGCAGCATTTAATTGCGCCGTTAGTGTAAATTTGTCACCTATTTGCAAAATTTCAATCAATAATCAATGAAATGAATCATCACCTAATCGTACCATCATCGAATTGTAGCAAAAAGTCCAGAATCAAGCATACTGACAATAATCTCATATGAATTATGCTATGCACATTGCCGAATGCTAGTATGAACATTGATGATGTAGCAACTGATGGAGGCACCATTCTGATAATAATCTCATGATACATTATCTATGTTAACAGTAATCGAGTATTAACACTGATGATACAACTTAAATGATAATAATAGCGATAGAATATGTTGTTTTAGCTAGTTATCAAGGTGATCATACTGACAATTGTAATCTCACGTTATGATACTTGCAGTATGAACAGTATTGTAGAGTATAAAAACACTGATGATGAAAGACTTTTGGAGAATATAATATGTGGCATTAACAAGCTATCAAGACGACCGCACTGACAATATTCTCATACTGTACTATCCACGTTATCAATAACAGAGTATCCATTTCAATGCTGATGACGATAAATTGCTACAGATCGAATGTAGTAAGCAGCTTTTTAGCGAATCATGTTATCCTCTTTAAAATTAGTAGACTATCAACATGGAATACGATGGAACTAATAGATAGAATACGTGGCTTCATTAATTAAGTCAGCATTGAAGAAGACTGTACCAGTGCTAACATCGTGTTATACTATGCAACTACACAGACAATCATCTCTACTAAGTTCTCTCTAACCATGCCATCGTACCAGAATAGTAGTTGAGTATCTACGCTGATGATGATGGGAATCATACGTACAAATACAATAATAGAGTAGAGTATCAATCCAGATTACGATCGATCTTAAAGTAAAAGGTATAAGTCGTTTTGGCCGAGTTATCCACAGTCTTAACTACTCCAACATGATAAGTACTCGCTATGATGAATGATGTTACTTCCGATGGTCTACTGCTGTCGGCATCCAAATAGAAAGAAAATACTATCAAGGTTAGCTATCGACCTGAATAGTAGTCGAGTATCTACGCTAATGATGATGATGGAAATAATACACACAGAATAAACACAACAGTAGAGTAGAGTATCAATCCAGATTCTGATCGATCTTAGAGTAAAAGGTACAAGTTGTATTGACGAGTTATCAACAGGCCTAACAGCTCCAACATGCGGACTTCTCGCTATGATGAAAGATGTTACCATCGATAATCTACTGGTGTCGGCATACAAGCAGAAATTAAATACTATTAACGTATAGCTATCCCCCTAAACAGTAGTAGTAGTAGTAGTAGAATATGTACGCAGACGATGATAAGAATAATACACACAGAATAAACGCAATAGTAGAGTAAAGTACGCGTATCAATCCAGATTATGATGGATGTTAGAGTAAAAGGTACAAGTCGTTTTGGCGATTTATCAACAGACTTCACTAACAGCTCCACCATTCTAACTTCTCGCCATGATAAAACTATCGATGGTCTACTACTGTCGGCATACAAGCAGAAATAAATTGCTATCAAACATAGCTACAGTGACTTTCATCGTCTATTTCCAACCCTAACTTACCTTCCATTCTATTAACACGATTGATTGATGATCAACTTGGCTGCAATGGCTGCAATCCAGGCCAATCATCGAGTAAAAGTTCCTTTCCTTTTTGGCCGCTTGCAAGCTGCTGGATAGTAGAGATGAAGATGGATTGTGAGCAAAATGAGCTGTCACTCTATAGTCTCGTCTTGACCAAATTATACTATCTGATATCGAGAAAGAAACGGTTATCGCATGACAGCCTATTTTGCGCAATATGACCGCGGTATGAAGCTATAACAAGCCAGTATCATCGATATCTTGATAGTGATCACTGTGATCTTTAGTAGTGTATGATACAGTTGTCAACCAACAAGAACTGCAACCTACACAAGACTGACTCCAGCAGTGGGCTACCGTCCGTATGTCCGAATATGTTGTCTTAGCAAGACGGTCTAGGACTTGCAAATGGCTGCCAGATACATCATCCCTAGCTGTAAATTGACAAAATTATAAGTAGTATTTAGAAGCATATCATCAAAACTAACGGAGTACGTTATGAATAATTAGTGCAAAGGTAAATAAGGGATTTGTCAAAGTAGACCATTCTTATGGCAAGCCAGGCTAATGAAGAGTCTGATGACAGCGATGTAGACCTAATATTTCTAGCTGTATTCAGTAGTTTGGTAGGGTAGATACAAATCGAGTAGACATGCATATCGATTCCGCTGTGCTACTTTATTTATTTATTTATAAATTGGATTCGTTGTGCATTATAACTCAAACATTATATTAGACGCATATTCTCACTATTCATATCAGCATATTCGTTGGTACTTATATCGATACCACCATCATTTGACAAAACTACAAGGCATCATATTATTCATTGAAAATTGCCACTTACACCTAGATCATATTATCAATTGTATCAGTAGAAACTTTAACTAGTAGGATAAATTCGCAATTTTGACGCCAAAAATCGATGGACGATAGAGTAGAACATTGACTTGAGTATTTGTGATAAAACTGATTAGTAGAAACTGTAATTGCTAGGATAAATTCACAATTTTGACGCCAAAAATCGATAGACGATAGAGTGGAATATTGGCTTGAGTAGTTGTGATAAAACTGATTAGTAGAAACTGTCATTGGTAGGATAAATTCACAATTTTGACGCCAAAAATCGATAGACGATAGAGTAGAACATTGGCTTGAGTACTTGTAATAAAACCGATTAGTAGAAACTGTAATTGCTAGGATAAATTCACAAATTTGACGCCAAAAATCGATAGACGATAGAGTAGAACATTAGCTTGAGCAGTTGTGATAAAACCGATCAGAAATTATTAATGCATACAGTATTTGCTTCATAATAAAGTATTAAAATATACTAACTGGCAGCATTGATACTGGTTTCTAATGTGCAAATAGAGTTTATTCCTTGAACACATAATATACCCGTATATACTATAAATACAGTACTATTGAAAAACAGTCCAAGAATTGATTTGATTTAAAAACGAAGCAAAGTTAACAACATCAAAATTAAAGCAATCGAATTATAACCAGCGTGACAAGCTTTCCTATTAGATACGATAATCATACGAAAACACAAAACGGCGAAAATATCGTGAAAATAAAAGTGGTATGGCGACAATACCTGAAGAAGAAACCTGCTTGACAAGGGTAGCGCTCTACGTCTCCTGTAAAAATCTACTCAAGAAGGATATTACCTCAAAATCAGATCCCCTTGTTGTTTTTAACGTGCATAATGGATGCTATTGGGTGGAGGTAAATAATTAATTAAAGATGCAATATTGCCCAATTTTGGTACATTGAAGATATAGAAGTCTATCAATATCAAACTCGAGAAATTTCTTCCTAAATCCCTTCAATCCTTACCGGCGATAGGTCCGAGGATGCTATAATCATTTGTTAACGTAGCCCTTCAGCATAGCAATAGAAGATTAGTACTCTACTTGTAGTTATTAGTTTGCAAAATACCTTACTAAAAATTGACTGGCAGTAGGCTTGTATTAGTAAATTACGGTACATTCATTAGAAGATTAATAGACTTTAAATGCATTAACTCATTCAAGCTCTTTTCCTATAGCATCAACGAACCGAATGGATCAAGAACACTTCCTGTCCAGAATTTGTAACTCCGATCGTTATCGATTTCTACTTTGAAAAGATTCAAAAAGTCAAGCTCTCGGTTTATGATATTGATAACGATACAGAGACGTTGTCCGATGATGATTTCTTAGGCGAGATAGAAACTACGCTAGCCAAGGTAACTATGGCCTGTATAGTAAATTTTTGAGTGAGGAATCTTTCACGAAACAATCATAAATCATCACCCATTAGTTTGTTATATTTATGAAATATAGTTTTAAAATACGTTATCGACTTACTGTTGTATCTGTATATCATTTGAAAGCTAATAAATCTGTCTACATTTTTTTTCGATCTCGACATTATATACTGTAGCAGAGATTCAAAAAGATCATGGTTAAAACTCTTATAATAATTTTTGATAGCATGCAGTCTAACAGACTTTCATCTATGAAATAACTTGTGCTGATCAATAAAAAGAGATTTAACTACGTCAGTCTAATAAATGCTGCAGTCAAATTCTGCTCTATTTTATAGCCCATTTTTGTTTAATTTTATTTAGATTGTGGCTGCAGAATCTTATACTGACCACCTTAAAATACCACCTCATAAAGTATCGCAGGGAACTATTCACGTCAGTTAAGCCATATTAATATTTACATATTGGCAGTTTGAAGAATTATTCGTCTTTAATTAGCGATTATTTAACATAGACTTACGAATTTTAAATAGTACTTTTATCCTCTTATAAACATGCACGTATATCTTAAAATCAGATTCGAGCCGAAGAAATGTCTGATTCTAGAACTAACAAGATTCTAGCACTGAAATTTAAAGGACAAAATCTGGATAAAATGGTAATCACTCAGTTTACCGTAGCAGATGAGATAGATACTTGTATGTATCTACTCTGCTATTAACAAATCCGTTTCTATATACGTATCTCAGAAGTTTTATTCATGATCTAAATTCGTGAGAGCAAATGTATCGACTCTATTAAAAAACAAATCAATTTCTTTACACTTTAACTTAGAAGTTCCATTTATGATCTAAATGAGTAACTGCCGATACTAATTTTAACATTTTAGGATATATTTAGTAAATCAGATCCATATCTTGAAATATGCAAACTAACATCGGATAGTACGTATTTGAAAATTCATCGAACTGAGGTTTCTTTGATTACATAAAAAATTAGTAAATCTCCATTATGAAGGTTTAATTAACTAACAAAATAAATCTCTTTCCATTCTAATTCCTGAGCTTTATATTTCCTTCCCTCACCAATTAGATAATAAAGAATACCTTAAATCCAGATTGGAATTTATTTTTGATTTCAGTAGACACTCTATGCAATGGAGATTACGAACGCAGTCTGCAGGTATGTGCTAATCTTATTAAAAATAATACCATTATTTTAACTTTTACGATCAGATAATTTTATTATTACATACTTGTTCTTTAAGTAATTCATCAGTCAAGGAATGATACTGAAGTTTATTATCGATTGAGCATTATTTTAAGCAGGCTAATTCAAGATAATACGTAAAAATTGGTTAATATCCCTTGATTATAGTAATTTAATTCTGATAGATCAATTGTTACGATTATGACAATAATGGTAGTCATGACTTTATTGGAAGCTTTGCGACAACACTTGCTGACATGCTTGGTGCTAAAGATAATCCTGTAAGTTTAAGTTATCTTTAAACCACCATAACAGCAGACTAAGCATTAGAATTAAAAATTCAAATATGCTAAAGCTGATAGAGATGCCAAGTTATTATTAATGTCCTACTATTACTAAACCTGCCAATTTTTTTTCTTACTGTCATAGATTAGTTATGATTGCATTAATCCTAAGAAACAAGCAAAAAAGAACACTTACAAAAACTCAGGCCGAATAATTCTCCAAAGCGTAAACATAATCAACGATCATTCATTTCTAGATTACATCATCGGTGGATGCCAAATTAACCTTGCGGTACAGATTCTATGTAAAGTAATACTGCATACTTTATGTTTTATGTAGCCAAAGAAGAAATATATTTTTTAAATCTCCGTCATCAATACTCTACTTTGAAATACTGTTTAGAATATTGTTAAAATATACACTATTTACCGTAACAAGCAAAAACTGATTTTATCTTTCACTGAATCTAGATTGGAATCGATTTTACGATATCTAATAAGGTAGCAACCAACCCTAAATCTCTACATTATACTGGACCAAATGGAAAAAATCAATATTTAGACGCCATAAAAGCTGTTGGGAACGTGTGTGCAGACTATGATTTGTGAGTGATTCACGAGCTAGTCATATATAATTATGATACAATAGTCCAGCATAGTGATAATATATACTTTAGTTACATAACATAAGCGGTAAAATAAATTGCTTCCTCATTAATAAGTACAATTATGCTATAGCGACAAACTCATTCCGGTATTTGGATTTGGAGCTGAAATACCACCCAAAAATAAAGTAGCTTATTCTATCATTTTAATACACACATACTAATGACTAATTTAATTAATAGCATTGGAATAGGATTGGTGTTATCGAGTAATAGAAATATATTATTATTACAAACTTTACATTTTTCTTATCTTTAAGGTATCACATGCATTTCCAATTAACTTTAATGCAACAAATCCTAATGTCGAAGGTGATTAAAATTTCGCAATCTGTGCATTAATTAGAATACTATAGCTTCAACCAAATCATAACTACCATAATTTATTAGACTAGCCTAGATCAGTTATTCATCTGTATTCTGTATTTTAAATATCGTATCTCTGGATATAGCCACTTAATTCTAGTTTTATTAGGGATCGAAGGCGTCATTGCTGCATACAAAAATTGTATATCGAAGATTCAATTCTATTTTCCTACCAATTTTGCTCCAATCATAAACCATATTGCAAGTTTTGCTGCTAACGCAGCTGAAGATGGAACAGCATCTGTAATTACGATATAAATCTTACATTGACTGATAAATGCAGGCTAATTACAATTATTCCTTAACTTCGATAGATTGCTATTTGCATAGGAATCTTGTTGCTAAGTCTAGTTTATTCCTATTGCGAATAGAGTAGATAGGATTAACCAGCTACTTACTTTGCGTCTGTTATATCATAACAATATTTTAATATGAAATTGTATTATATTTTCTTTCTGAGGATTGAATTATTTTTTTTTTAGAATTATTTTATATTATTATTACTAACTGATGGCGCAATTACTGATACGGACAAGACAAAACAAGCTCTCGTAAAAGCTTCTAAATTGCCGATGTCGGTGATTATCGTGGGGATTGGAGATGCCGACTTTACTGCGATGAAAGATTTAGACTGTGATCATGGAGTGTTAGTAGTCTATGATGTATTTAACTTAAGTAGTCATAGAAAATAGTAAAATAATTCATCCGGTTATATATTAGATTAAAGTCTTCATCTGGAGAATGCGCTTTACGTGACATCGTTCAGTTTGTCTCCTACAAGAAATTTCTACAGGTCGTTTAACGCTTTAAAAAATAATGAAATAGTAATTGATTTTTAGAGATTGAATTATTAATTTCAAATTCTAAAATTGTAGGCTCCTTCGGACGTTTTAGCGCAACATGTACTCAGTGAAATTCCTAGGCAGTTAAGACAACATTACCTCCTGAGTGATATGGAGCCTATGGTCCGACATTAAAATGTTGAATGTCTACGAGACTATCTAGTTTTCTATTACTCTTTTACCGTTATTGTCATAATCTATGTGCATACCAGATCTTGGTGAATTTTTTTAACCTTTGTAGCTTTATCAGTATCAATTTAATTTTAATTGCGTAGAGAACAATCATTCTTTCTTATTTGATTTAATTTTTCGAAATCTTGATCATGACTTTTCCACTTCATGGCGAATTTCTGCAGAGCATCTGAAATTCATGTTTAGATTGAACTATTTTAGATAAAGTTTTGCACATCCATATAGTCTCAGTGTTCCTTGATTTAATATTATTTCTACTTATTCTCACTAACCATCCGACCTTGACAAGCTCGAAGATACTTATCGAAAGAATAAATAGATTAACAAAATTTTTAAATGTTTCGTCTAGATAGATTTGTTCACTCCAGGGCTATGGAAGCATCATTTGTTACCTAATCTTTTTTACTATATTCTTCAATTTTATCTCTCATAAATACAACATCTATACCGACCATAATTATTATCAGAGCGAATTGTATAGATAATGCGTTGGTATCTTGAATAATCGAACCTATATTAATAGATAAATACTTGATAGTATTCCATGATTGTGGATAATTTAAAGTACCCTACTTCCCCGTAATTGTAACTCGTCATTAGCGAATATTAACCTTGGTATCCAGTCTTAGCTATGTCAATAAGCGATTTTTAATCTACATCTGCAATAAATGACTTAATCATACGCAATAGCTCTACTTTGCTCAGTGCTATATCAATTCAAAATGTAAATAAAGATTAATCTATTACACTAGCTGTAAGGTTCGAATTTCATTAGTGACAATAATACTGTAAAGTATAATAACACAACAAAGGTGCATGTGCATGTCCTGTTATTAGCATGCCAATCCTAAACAATCGTAATAACAGGTAAATATTTCAAGAATGATATTGAATGCTGATATTCAACACCAGCTCAACACCTGCTGTATTCAATTTTAAATATCTTTATAGAAAATCGTATTTATTTGCATATTATAACTCTTTTCATTTAAAATATTAGCGTAAACAGACTCTTTACCTATAATTAATGCAAGCATGATAAGACGGAATGCATGCTATAATTCTTTTCGATAGTTCGGCAGAAGCATGCAGAATTTGTTTACTGAGCTACTTTGGTTAGTTAACATACTGAAAACGATGCTTGTAAACGGCCTTTTATTTGCATTCCGCCATTTTATTCCGAGAACTAAGTCACCTCTATCGATGAACTACAAATATTCACTAACCCTCGCATGTTACGTGTTGCCTTCTTTGCTGCCTTGCAGTCGAAAGACAGCAAATTACGTAGTGCTAATTAGCAGATTGATTATAGATCAATTTGCTCAATTGTCTCGATACAGCAGTCTACCTATACTGTTTACCGTGCCCAATACTTATACCTATTTTGAACATAGAATTCATTACAAGAATAAGAAATATCCATCCTAATGATATCCTTAAGTCTTGCTTAATAACTTTCCAACATGCCAAACTAATATATTTTAAACGCTTACTTTGCTATCATTTCATATATAATCACTTTTATTTGCATTAAAAACTTATACACTACCCCTATGATATATAGCACTTCGAGAGAGCACATTTTTCCTTACAAACAAACACATCGCTATACAATAATTTCAGGGATATATAGTATTACATTTACAATGCACTTAATTTAATTGGTTCAGATCAGTAAATAGAAATGCAATTAACAGTTCCAGTTTACAATATCGATTTAATTGTGCTATCTTAATTGTTCAATTGAACCAATCAGTACTAAGTATCCCATTGGAATACCGCTAAATGCAACCGCATAACCGAATTAAGCTAATATAGACATAAAATGATTTGGCCTCTAAGTTTTATATGAACTTTTAGTTATCACAAGTCCTCATTGGTCAGAAATCAGACAGTTTGTGCTAATAACATTCATAACTTACATATTTTGAATGTAATAGATTTATTGTATATTCGTATTGTAGTAAATAACTCGCATACCAGAAAATATAATGTTACCGTGGAACTTCTTACGGCAATTAGACAAAGTATTGAAGACTTGGCTTATTTACAAATACGGCTATAGATTTAGACCGAGAGCTGGAAGACTATTTTAAAAAAGTCAATTAATCTAAGTGCTCTTAGTTTTGGATTAAATTTAATTAATCCAAGCTTTATCTAGATTGGAAGTATCCACAAAGATACGCGAGAAGTAGTAACTTCAAGACAAGGTTAGCATAAATTTATTTTAATCTGTATATAGTATCCATAATCCGCATAATTTCAAACGTAGACTAAATTGATTTCCTTGTACACTATACACTCAGTATACAGCCAACAAATTCACTGGGAATTAGCAGAAGCTCTAAATCTAATTGAGAGCACCAACATTGATCATGGCTTGATATCAAATATACCACCTGTAAATGGCACAAATGTAGACTAAATTGATTTCCTTGCACTCTATATAGTCGACAGATTCACTGGAAATTAGCTGAATTTCTAGGTCAAACTGAGAGCACCAACATTGATCATGGCTTGATATCAAATATACCACATGGAAATAGCTAGACTGTCAAGCAGGTAACGAATTCTATGCTTTGCCTAATACTCGTACACCTATTATACTGTAGTATGTAAAATTATATAGGATCTATAGGATTAGTAGAACATTCCATTGATACTAATGAGTCGCTCAATATTACTTAATCAATCTACTTATATGACTATTTGGTGCTTCAATATTGTCTAGCTACGAGATCGATCAATAATCAACCTCCAGGTAGCAAGTAAGATGATGGCGGTCATCATCGTTTTCTCTTCTTTGCCCCTTGGAGCCTCTGCGATGATTACAGTGTATACTACTGCATAATGTAAAAATTGCAAGTTTACTTTACAGTACAACTATATCAAATTAATCTCGTACTATACAGTACATTGTGAAGTATACAGTTAAATTCTCTAGATCGACGCCGTGTTTAATAAGGGACTGCTACCTGCTCACTGCTCAGCCATGGTTTACTCAATATTGATAGTTATTAATTACTAGTGCAATCAGTTATTGATAAACTAAGCTAAATGAAGTCTCATCCGGTGCTAGAAACACTGTTGTTGTCTGTGGTCTAGCTAGTAATTATCGGATTACATATTTCCTGAGTCCGGTATTGTCGCCAATGTTGCACACTTGTAACAACAAGTCCATGACTCAGCTCAGCTAAAGCAAAACTCGTCAATGACCGTGAATAATCTTGTTTCAGTATTAGAGTTGACCTAGTTAGTATTCCTAGATGGAATCCAATGATCCAACGTATTATTCAGAGTAGTAAGTACTGACGACTTATCCTAGGCTAGTTGGATGATTTCTATGGCACAACCTGAAGATTTGATATTATCCGATGTCTATTTATCCAGCTACAACCAAACTCAAGCTCTGCAACCTCATCAGTCTGCAAGACAATGTCGTTAAAATGATAAGATAACTCGATTCGCTTATCGGACTAGAAGCGAGCAAGAAGAGGAGGATGATGATGATCGATCAGACATGAATTTCGATAGCGATGGAGATATGCAGTTGCAGTGCAGAAAAATAAACAAGAAGAGCTTTGCAAGATCGGTGCTCATACGACACTGCATGGCCACACCTTTACAGCAAGTGGGTTTACAAGTTTGAAGAGGGGCTCTACTAATGTGTGATTTTATACTTCATCATGTTCGGCTATTTCGAGAACGTTATTGTTTAGAATTAGGAGCAGTTGTTGGCCTAGCGAGTCTAATAGTAGCGCCCTATGCAAAACGCGTTTATGCAACTGATATTGGTGACGATATTCTAAAAAATTGCTACCTCAATCTTAACTACAATGAACATTTACTTGCCAATAGATCAATTTATGATATCATTCGAGTTCGAGAATTAAATTGGCTAGATGGTATACCGAAACTAGATTCTAATAGTGCAGCCGGTACAATAAACGCTCAATTTTCGTGGCTAAAGGATGATCTTCTCGAATTGTATGATTGTGTCGATACGATAATCGCGTGCGATGTTATTTATGATGATAACCAAACAAGTGCATTATTAACATTAATCAAAGACATACTAACGCTAAGGAATTCAAAAAATAGTAGGAAACTGTTTATGTAGCTATGGAAAAAAGAATTAATTTTACTTTAATAGATTTAGAGGAAACTGCACCAGCTTATAATCATTTCCTCAGCAGCTTGAATGAGCTGAAAATAGAATAACTTCTGTGATCATTTTAGAAATCGCACGCTCATTAGTAAATTATATAGAAAGATTCCAATTGCAATTATTCCTAAATTCCGATAAATAGTTTATCGTATATGACTGGCTGACGAGTATAGTTCATTCCCATCACTATCAGAGTAGATCCTATAAATCTCTTACTTATAATGTCTTTGCCATATTGTTACAGTATGTTAATATGGACTGTATTTTACTAACCTTCTGATGATTGAATTATTTTTAGAAATATTTCATATTGTTATTACTAACTGACGGCGCAATAGTTATTACAGGAGGTAAAAACACGATTGTGAAATCTTCTGCTATTGTTTGCTTGAAGATTACTCCTTTAAGAAAGACGATGAATGCATCATTAGCTAACATAACTGATTACTCTGCTATACTACCCACATCAGTATAAAATGTACGCCACGATTGTCATAATTATAATCAGAGCAATTGATATAAATAAAGCATTTGTATATTGAACACTTGAATGTATATTAGAATAATATTAGATAAATACTAGATAGCATTGTAAACTTGTGCATAATCTAAAGGGGATTTCGTTCTATTGCAATCACCTGTCCCAATAAAGTGCTCAATTTATTAAACTGACATCGACAAACTACCTTTAGGAGGGCTCAAAGCTAGAATAGACAATGATAGCATCCATAATCCTGTATAAGTACAAATGCAGACTAAGCTGACTTCCTTGTACACTATACAGCAAACAGATTCATTCGAAATTAGCTAAAGTTCTAAATCGAATTGAGAGCACCAACATTGTTAATGATTTGATATCAAATATACCATCTGCCAATCACTAGACTATCAAGCGCGATTTTAGCTAATTCCATGCTAGCCTAATACTTGTACTCCTGTTATAGTATGTACAGTATATTTATATATTGCGTCCTTATGACGTGCTGCCATAATTAAGACTATTATAATACAACTATTAAGCCAGTATTAGTCGACTATCATACAGTTTGTTCGCGTAAGTACCGTAATCTACTGCTTCTGTTCTATTAATTTCTAGCTTACGTTTAATAGTATGCGCATATCATGCCAATGAAGTGGCAATATCGGGACTAAATTTATTATCCTGTAATTTCTACTTAGCTACTGCTTCCAATTCAAAATATGAATATAAATCCTCCACGTTACTAAATCACTTTGCATAATCCATGTATTCTATCGTTAAATGCGTAGATATCTCAAAATGCTTATACAAACATGTATCAATTATTATATAATTATTATTGCATACGAACTTTCCGGGGCCTCTAGAGTATTTCCCGTCACCCCGGTAGAATCTACTAAAAGTAAATCAAAATATCATCGTAAAACGATTGCAATACGTGACGTCAATATTATCTCGAAATAATCACTTACACAAAGATTACGATCTAACATATCATCAAAAGTATTCTTTTACAATTTTCAATCCTAATTTTATTATGAGCTTGTATTACAATCATACAGTATGTAGAAATGCTAGATAGTTAAACTACTACTGATAATATTTAGATGAGTAACCTTTAATAAGAAAATGGGTACTATTTTCATAATCGATCTCTACACGATAATTTTAAGTTCTGGAGCTATACTAACAACTTTATTAATGCTATTAAAGATATAAATACGTATTATTAAACGCAAAGGTAGCACTTCTATAATTTCATTCATTGTTTGTTTTATTTTACAGTTCCCAACTTAACGGCATTTCCAACTGGATTCAGATATCCAATATTCTTTGTTCCAACAGTAGCAGCATCGCCTTCACTTTGTGGTTGGCTTATTGGTACTGTAGTTGGAAGTGCTATATTATTTATTGTGGCTGTTGTAATTTTGACTGTTAGGCGCTATCGTTAGCGTAGCTATGTAGCACGATAGTAACAACAATACAGAGTTCTTTGAACCGTTTATAACATTTATAGAAAATGTAATTCTACACATTACTAGCATACCTCCATTTCAATCGAAATAACATGGTACCATATAAAGACTGTGTTACACTTGTAGCTTATCCTAAAAGTGGTCATTCTAAGTTGGATTTTAAAATCTAGGTGTGTTATAAATCGATACTTGTATCGGCAAAACATTAAATTTATAACAAAAAACATAAGATTATGAGTCTACTGTCAAGTTTATCCTCACCGACAATAAGAAATTGTCAGTGAGGAATAGTAACCACTAGTCTCTCTTTAGAAAAACTGAACCCAAACTTTACTGACAATAACGATTGTAATAACTGGTAAAGATTTTAGGTATAATGTTAAATGATCCCACCGAACACCTGTTGCGTCTAATTTTAAACATCATTATGTGGAAATCAGCATTTATTTGCATGCTATAACACTTTATATTAAAAATTTTAACGTAAGCGGGCTCTTTTTCTACGTTCAAAGCAAATAGGATAAGACGAAATGGCTGTTGTAATTCTTCATGATATTTCGGTACAACCATGCGGAACTTGCATTACTGAAATACTCCAGTAGATCAGTTAGATTAAATATTTCGGTACAGTAGCTTAACTATGCCGTTTGTCGTACCCAAAAGTTATACCTATTCTGAATATAGAATTACAATAGTGCCAATATTCATCCTCATAATATCCTTTAATCTTTCTTAATAGCTTTCCAACATGCCAAATTAGTTTACTTTTAAACGTCTCATTTTGATATTGTTTCACATATACAATTACTTTTTCCGCATTAAAAACTGTTAGTTGCATGCCACTCCTATGATTTATCTAATTATCGTTGTGACAGGCTCACTACCAGTACCACAATAGCGTTCATTTTTCCTTACAAACGCATCGCTATACAATGATTTTAGGATTATATAGTGTAAAATTCACAATGCACTTATTTTAATTAGTTCAGATCAATTGATACAGATACAATTAACAGTTCTAGTTTATAATAGTGATTTAATTAGCATTATTTTAATTGTTCGATTGAACCAATCTGTATTGAGCATTCCATTGTGATACTGCTAAATGTAAACCATATAACTAAATCAAAGTGATGTAGATGTAAAATCAATTTGACCCCTAAGTTTTATATGAACTCATAGTTATAAATAGTCTTTCTTGGCCAGAAATCAGGCAGTTTTTGCAAACAATATTAATAACTTACATATTTTGAATGCAATAGATTTTCTGTCTACGCGCATTACAGTAGGAAGAGCGCATGCCAGAAAATATATTATCGTGGAATTTTTAACAATAAGTACACAAAGTATTAAAAGCTTGGCTTATTCAGCAGACACAGCAATCGATTTAAATAGAGAGCTAGAAGACTATTTAAAAGAGTCGATTATTCTTAGTGTTCTTAAATTTGGATTAAATTAAATTAATCTAAGCTTCGTCTGGATTAAAAGTAGCCATAAAGATACGTAAGAAGTGCTAACTCCAAGACAACGTTAGCGTAAATTTAGTAATTTGCAATTATCGTATAAAGTTTAGCCCTTTCTCTAGCAGTAAAAGTATTTCCAAAATCAGTACTGTAATTGTCGTCGAAAGACTAAAAAAATATCGGCTATTTGAAGATTAAAGCTATCATCATCATCATTCGTAATTAAAATATTTAAGTATTGGTTTCATACTTCAGTACTTCCAATAACTAAGAGTAAATTTTCAACCTCGAGGATAACTACTCAAGTAAATAATCAATTCAGTCTAATTGCTGTATTAATCCTAACTATTATCTAATCTTTACATGAATTTGATATTTTGCTTTCGGGTTTGTTTCTTTATACAATTAAGAGAGAATATTCAACCTAAACAGTAACCGCTTCTTGCAACTAGTCAATTTCGTCTTATCATTGTAGTTGCTCGCCCAAAATATAGTTCAACAACTTAATGTGACTATCGATTTTTAAATTTCTTTCTTCAAATATAACAAGTGAACGTGTAACTTAAAGAATGATATACTTCATGATACTGATCAGTTCATTCTTATCACTGTAGTTATATACGCCAGTCTAATTTGTTTCTGTTGGCGATACTAAGGTTGTTCGCGTATTAAACGTAAATATGAAACCATCACATATGGAGCTTGCTAATTTAACTTAAAGTTTCATAATAATTATATTACCACGATAGTATCGATTCAAATATTACTTTATGCTACTTGCGCTAAATTTTTTATATAGTTAGTTGCGAAAACCTTATCTTTGGTTTTACCATAGTATAGCTTTGTTACTTCACGACGGCCATTTGGCTTAAAGTAGCAATGATCTACTATTTATATTATTGTGACCTAACATATTTGAAAATTTCTATTTTGACCAGAGAATACGTATATTTCAATGTATTCAATATATTCTGAATTACCAAGTAGAAGTTAAGAAATTTAAACTAGCTAATTCGTTTTGGGTATTATTATAGTATAGTCAATACTATTCCGATAAGGATAATTAATAGGCACTGCTAGCATTTTGATTTACTACAGCTATACACTTACGGCTAAAGGTGCAATACGATGCACTTATAATTTATCAATTTAAAACAGTACTCAAAGTAGATAGTAATAACGTTACGATTATTTTACTGAGATTCATGACAATAGCACGGCAGTACCGATCCTCCTCACCTTAAGTATTAAATGTTATCGACCTCGTTAAACTTTATAATTTATAGATACTTTTTCTTCGTTTAGGCTATTTGTGCTAAATTTTTCATTTACGTAGCTAAACTTTATCGTTAGTCTTGCCATACTAGAGCTTTGTTACTGTATGGCAGCTATTCCACTTAAAGTAGCAATGATTAATTATCTACATTATTGTTGTCTAACATCTTTGGGAACTTCTGTTTTGACCTATGAATAAATTTCAATTAATTTCAATTTATAGTACTGAAAATGTAATGCGACACATTGATAACTTATCAACTTATTAAAAATTGTATTCATAGAAAATAATATGTAATCTTGTGATTACTTTACTCAGAACCATGATAAAGGGAAAAAATTACCGTAGCTATGATTTATGTTAGCGATTTTACGGAATAAATTAATAAAAATTATCTATCTATTGATAGGTTTGTATACGTTGAAGTTTCGTTAAGAGCAATGGCAGTTACACTTCCTCTCTTAGTCCTGTTCGTACTCTTTTCCAATGCTAATGGTAAGTATTATCAACTTATAGCTTCAATTATTACTAAAACTTTACTTCACTTTTTAGTTATATTAATTTCTTATTTCTTTTGATATAGCGGCATGCAATAAGAGTTTTACCTTAAGCAGTGATACTTTCGCTACCGAAAACTTTCCAAACCGCAATTTTACCGGATATTGCCATTACCAAATTAAACTTCCTTTTCGCCGTGCAATTGATTTACAATGGCTAGCATTTGATGTTGGATCTCCTAAAGTAAACAGCAAATGTCCTGATAATTATGTAACAGTCTCTGATGGCGCTTTTCCACAAATTCAACACACGTATACATTTTGTGGTAAACAGCCACAAAATATAACTTCGAAAACTAATATTCTTTCAATCATCTTATATGTTAATTCCAATTGTTCCCATCAAGGTTTTCGCGTAAAATATACATCACGTAAGTTATACTTGTATCCATAAAATCTTTTATGCTAGAAAAAAGAGCTAAAATAGTATACTGTGTAAGATATAGAAGAAGGATTGAATCTGTTTTACGTTTCGTTTTCTTCACTGCCAGAACGGCGATATTGGAAAAATTATTACGATTTTGGAGTGTAAATACTCAACACACTAGTTACTATATTCTTTAAGAACAGATTTGAGCAATTTGAATCTACTTTCACCAGAGTTCTATTACATGAAAACTCATCAACTAATTTTTTAGGAATTGAGTTAAGCACGTTTACTCCAAATGTAAAAGTGGCATGAAATTATATGATGGAAGCTATAATGTTTCTGAAAATCAAGTTTATAAGTTTTGTGCGTATATTAAATCTCCACCATCATTTACATCCAGTTCAAATATGGTTTCTATCAGTTTTTATGACAACCACAACAGTGGTGGAAATCTAGTTTTCGCATTTTCATACCAAGCAGGTAAGTTAAATGTAGTAACCTCAATGATGTCTGCTAATATTCTAACAAAGGAATGTAGGCGACAAATAAAGAATATATCAATCATGATGCAGAGTTCATTTTAGAGAAGAATTAGCGATGCATTTAATACAATACCATGCAAATAGTATAGTTACATCACTGAAAATATATTTTTTACGAAGTATCTTTTGCATGACTGTTGTAACATAGTTTCCATAAGATCATTTATCTAGAAACGTTTTTAATATTAATTTATCTATGCTGTCACGGATATTTCAATAGATAATCGCATAATTATATGATATTATTCGTGAACTGATAGTTAGTGTCTATATAGCCTTGCTATAAATTGGCTGACTTTTGAATAATGTTTGGATTTAGTTTTGTTAACGAGAAACCAGTTTTGTTAGTGTTCCTCCCGACAATAGTTTATCGTCAATATTTGGAGTATTACTGTAGGTAGATATTAGGGAGGAAAAAACTTCGATAGCAGACTCATATTTTCTTAAGCTGTCAATGATAGTTGAATTTTTTCTTGTTACAAAGTTATATTTATAACAATATTATAAAAGTATCCTAACTGAATTATAAATTCATTATATAAATAGTAATGATATTGAATATTGATCATAAACTAAATTTTGTCGATATTGCAAGAGGGAGCATAAAGTACTCATTTCTCTATTTGTTTATAACAGTTCCTCGAAAATCCTGCAATTACACTATGAAAACCCTAACAGGATCGATATCGATACCTTCTACGCCTAACTATAACAACTCTAATCTGACTTGTGTTACACTGCTGGAACCTCCCGCCGCCAAGTATCTTATTCTACAATGGAATAGCATCGGGGAAAATTTTAGAGATCCTCAAAAGTGTGATGATTTTGTGGAAGTTTATCTTAGAAACATCAGTTCTAGTACTTTATATACCAAACTTTGCAATGCGACTCGAGGTACCACAATTTCTATTAAAAATCTAGATAAGAAGATTTTCGTACGCTATGTCACCAAAAATTATAATAGCAGGAAACAATTCAATTTGAGGTATTATGGAGGTAAATATAAATATTAACTTATCATACCTTTCAACTAATACGCAAGAAAATAGCCTGCATCAGTATTAAAATGCTTTATTATGCTTTTTGCACGAAAATTATTTCCTTAAATGCTAATTAACCCAATTCTTTTAGTTATCTGTTTCAAGCTACTTGAATCTAATTTTGAAACTTTCTACTTTTTTTTATTTTAGTTTCAAAATCTCAAGTTTCATTTACAATCCGTCAACCTGTCCCAGGTGTTCCGTGGTGCTTCCGCACATTAGTCTATTATAATACAACTATTAAGCCAGTATTGGTCGACATTCACACATTTTGTTCGTGTAAGTACCGTAATCTATGACTTCTATTCAATTAATTACAAACTTATACTTAGTAACTTACTTGCATCATATCAATGAAGTAACAAATTCGAAGCTAAATTCATTATCGCGTTATCTCTACTTACCTAGTGCTTGCAATTAAAAAGTTAGTATAAATTCTCCTTGCTTCCAAATTACTGTATGTAATCCATTTAATTTATTGCTATATAAGTAGATATCTCAAAATGGTAGTAAAGATATGTAGCAATTATAGATACTATTACATACAAACTACCTGGGCTATCTCGACTAGTTCCCGTCACCTAGTGGAAACTACTAATAGTAGAATAACATCATTATGAAATGACTGCAATACGTGACGTTAATATCGTCTCGAAATAGTCACTTGCGCAAGCTTTCTATCTAACATGTCATTGAAAATTATTCTGTTACAATCTTTTAATCTAAAGCTCATTTTGGGTCTGTGCTACGATCAGACAATCGTATGCTGAATGATTATGTAGTTCGAATATATACTGATAGCATTTAGATGAGTATCCTTTAATAAATAAATATACACTCATATAATTTCAATAATCTTGATACCATAATTTTATGTTCGTGTGGTATATTAACAACTTTATTTATGGTGTTATTCGTTATATTCAATGTTTTCTACGATATGAATATTGATAAATATTATAATAATTCCTGAATAATTTCACTCTATGTTTGTTTCACATCACAGCTCCCAGCTCATCACCAACCGGATTCCAATTTCCAACATTCTTTATTCCAACAATTATTATTCCGACTTTCGCACCATCGCCTACAACTTCTGGTTGGGTATATGGTGGTGCCTCAGCTGGTGTATTAGTCATTTTGGCCTTTTTAAGTCTGATGTTTAGGCAATATCGTTGGCGCTATTTAGTACGAGAGCAACAACAGTATCGAACTCTTTAAGTTGCGCTTATGGACGTAGTTTTACACCGTTTCTAACTTTTCTTAAATATAATTCTACATGTTATAAACATATGCCTGTTTCAATAGATCATTTTCCTCTTACATCAAAATAGCAATTTACTGTATTTAGTCTGTTCAATATTATGCTTGTAGTTTATCTTGAATGTAGGCATTTGAAGTTGAATTTTCAGTATCTAGGTGTGTTATAAATCGACGTTTACGACGGCGAAAATATTAAAATTACAATAGAAAACTGCAACATACTGTATCTGCTATCAGATTAGTCCTCCATGAAAATCTTCTAGCATCAAGAAGAACAGAGCCACTGGTCTCTCTTTGGATAAAACTGAACCCAAAGTTTGTTCAAAAGTGGTTCAATTTGTGGCAAACCTAAATAAAACATTAGTTATCAGTACATAGATGAATAAGTGATTCATAATAATATAAAACTATGCAGTTATCTATTAAAAATATTTAAAATGTCATAGTAGCAACATCTACAACACAATCCTAGTTACGCGCGCGTACGTAATGCTATGAAAACTATACTAATATAGAATATCATGTTTAGTTATTAACAGTACCTTACAGTCTTGACTATTTGCAATGAATCATTGCTATTACATAATATATGATGGCTTATGTTGTATCTAATTTTATTCGTATAATCTTGTTTTCTGTATTAGTTCTATCTCTATCACAGTAAATACTAGCGATTTCTGACTCAGATTAAGTTGCATTAGTTGCAATGCTTGTAATCTTAACACGGTACTTTGCGACAGCTTACTTGTTACCCTTTAGTAAATACGACATCGGGAGCAAATTATGATTATAATCTACAATAAAACGTCCATTTTCTCTATAGCCTTGAAGTAATTCTCTAAATGATGACAAATTACGCTATAGCGGATACATCAAGCCCTCGATCCCAACATCCATTTATATGGCACAAAATTTACCCATTACTTGGGTACTTTTAGTTCATGAGCTATCAATTTTCTACGATTACTTCCAATGCCTATCAAATGATTCTAGAGCTATAATATTATTTCACTAACGCTGATTTCATAGTTAAATTGAACTCTAGTAGATGTTTGATGTTAATTGCTGAGAGCATCTCTGGCACATAATGACATACAGACTATTTGGTATTACTATTTTGGAAGTATATGATTGTATTTCGATTCTAGAATACTGACCAGAATAAACATCATTGTCAGTGATTATTGTGGGACTAGAAATGCTAACTTTAATACGTTGAAAGAATGCCTATGATATAGCCCTTTGCAGATTCATTTTCCTACCAATTTTGCCATGATGTAAATTCTGCTGCTACTGCTACTGAAAATAGAATAGCTTCTGTATTTATTACATGGCGTTATTGTACAGAGATTTAGCTTTAACTACGTGTGTAACAATATTATTTCTTAATCACAATTTTAATTAATAATATAATCATCATTTCTTAATCTTAATCATTATTTCTTCCTTGATTTCAATTTTGAAACTTTCGATTTTGACATACATTCTATGGCAGATTTCGATGAACTGCTGAAATCGACGTATGTTAAGGTTGCGCCATTTTGAGATACAGTTTGCACACGAGAATAGTTTCAATCTTTCTTGATTAGAATTACCGCTATATATTTACACTAATCTACGTATACGACTTGAACGGCTTTAAACCACTTGATATAAAAATAAATAAAGCGATGGTAAAATCTTTTAATATTGTTTGCTTGAAGATTATTCGTTTAAGTAAAGCGATAAGCGCATCGTTAGCTACCATAACTGATTACTCTGCTATGCTATCCCCATCAGTACAAAATGTATGCCGCGATTGATATAGATAAAGCATTTGTATGTTGAACACTTGAATGTATATTAGAATCATGATTCGATAAATACGAGATAGTATTGTAAGCTTGTGGATAATTATAATTGAAAGGGGATTTCATTTTGTTGCAATCGCTGCTTCAATAAAGTGCTCGACTTCATTAAAATGATATGGACAAATTACCTTAGGAGGGCTCCAAGCTAGAATAGACTATGATTGCATCCATAATCCTACATAAGTACAAATGTAGACTAAATTAATTTCCTTATACACTATGCAGCCAACAGATTGACAGGGAATTAGCTGAAGTTCTAGATCCAATTGAGAGCACCAACATTGATGATGATTTGGTATCAAATATACCACATGTCAATGGCACAAATGTAGAGTCTAAATTGATTTCCTTATACACTAGACCATAGTTGAGAGGGGGTAAGCAGTAATTCAAATAATTTTTGCTATTCACGTATGGTCTATTGTACACTACACAGCCTGTTAACAGATTGACTGGGAATTAGCTCAAGTTTTAGATCCAATTGAGAGCACCAACATTGATGATGATTTGGTATCAAATATACCACATGTCAATGGCACAAATGTAGACTAAATTGATTTCCTTGTACACTATACAGCCAGCAAATTCACTGGGAATTCGCTAAAGTTCCAGATCCAATGGAGAGCATCAACATTGATGACGATTTGATATCAGTCAAGCACGTAGTGAATTGTATGCTTTGCCTAATACTTGTACTCCTATCATACAGTACACTGTAGTATGTATATTTATATAGGATCTACATGATTAGTTAGAACGTTCTATTGATACTAATGAGTAGCTGACTATTGCTCAGTTAATCTACTTATGATTACTTGGTGCTTTAATATTGTCTTGCTACGAGATCGATCAATATCCAACTGCCTGGTAGCAAGTTAAGATGATGGCGGCCATCATCGTTTTCTCTTATTTGCCCCTTGGAGCCTCTGCTATGATTACAGTGTATAGTGAACTTCATACTGTAAAAACTGACAGAGTCGACTACAACTGTATCAAATTAATCTCGTACTGTACACTGTGAAGTACAGTATAAAGTTCAATTCTGTTGATCGACGCTGTCAGAGACTGCAACCTGCTTTGCCAATGGACTACTCCATATTTGTAGTTATGATTATTGCTGTTAGTTATTGACAAACTAAGCTAAATGAAGTCTCATCCGGTATTAGAAACACTGCTGTCGTCTGTAGTCTAGCTAATAATCGGATTACATATTCCCGGAGTCTGGTATTATCGCCAATGTTGTAAGCACACTTGCAACAGCAAGTCCATGTTTCAGCTCAGCTAAAGCAAAACTCGTCCATAAATAATCTTGTTTCAGTATTAGAGTTGAACTAGTTAGTATTCCTAAATGGAATCCAACGATCCAACGTATTATTCAAAGTAGTGAGTACGGACGACTTATCCTAGGCTAGTTGGATGATTTCTATGGCACAACCTGAAGATTTGATATTATCCGATGTCTATTTATCCAGCTACAACCAAACTCAAGCTCTGCAACCTCATCAGTCTGCAAGACAATGTCCTTATGATGAAAAGATAACTCGATTCGCTTATCGGACTAGAAGCGAGCAAGAAGAGGAGGATGATGATGATCGATCAGACATGAGATTCGATAGCGATGGAGATATGCAGTTGCAGCGCAGAAAAATAAACAAGGAGAGCTTTGCAAGATCGGTGCTCATACGACACTGCATGGCCACACCTTTACAGCAAGTGGGTTTACAAGTTTGGAGAGGAGCTCTGCTAATGTGTGATTTTATACTTCATCATGTTCAGCTATTTCGAGAATGTTATTGTTTAGAATTAGGAGCAGGTGTTGGCCTAGCGAGTCTAATAGTAGCGCCCTATGCAAAACGCGTTTATGCAACTGATATTGGTGACGATATTCTAAAAAATTGCTACCTCAATCTTAACTACAATGAACATTTACTGACCAATAGATCAATTTATGATATCATTCGAGTTCGAGAATTAAATTGGCTAGATGGTATACCGAAACTAGATTCTAATAGCGCAGCCAGTACAATAAACGGTCAATTTTCATGGCTAAAGGATGATCTTCTCGAATTGTATGATTGTGTCGATACGATAATCGCGTGCGATGTTATTTATGATGATAACCAAACAAGTGCATTATTAACATTAATCAAAGATATACTAACGCTAAGGAATCCGAAAAATAGTAGAAAAACTGTTTATGTAGCTATGGAAAAAAGAATTAATTTTACTTTAATAGATTTAGAGGAAACTGCACCAGCTTATAATCATTTCCTCAGCAGCTTGGATGAGCTGATAGTAAAGAATGACTGCAAGCTTACTGCTCAACGAATTGATATCAGTTTCCCACAATACTTTCAATATGAACGCGTAAAGCAATTAGAGTTATGGAAATTGACTGCTGGCCTGGAATAGTCTTGCAGCAGGACGGTATTCCAGTAAAAAAATGACTAAAATAATATTTAGTAGTTTAAATGATAATGTCAACCGATCTAATAGTAAAACTCTCATCAACGTATCATAGAAGTTCTTGTTAAACAGCATCTATTACTGATATCATGCTAGAATCAATGAATGGATACAATTACTAATGGTGTTTTTTAGCAACATCCTCTATCCATTATTGTATCAGCTAAACTTCTAACTTACTACGATTGAGTAAATGCCTACATAAAACGTTATTTCTTACTGTCAGGTGTTCCGTGGTATAATCAATCCATCACCACCTTTACGTTGGGTTTCGCACCTCCATTACTAGGATTAATACTGTATAGCATAGAAGTGATATTCAACATTATAAAAAGTGATCATTACGACCAGGAAATTTTGACTGCAAATTTAACAATTTACAGGATTATCCACTCGCAATGTCTTATATCTTGCGTACTTGTTGTAGATTTGATTACAATCAATTAACTTATGATATTTACTAAGTAATGTACAAAAGATTCTAGACATCGCCTCCATCATTAATTCAATTATTTGTTGTTCTTGCAATCTATCTCGTAAATAAATTGTTTAGTAATGTATTCCATGAATGACACAAGCTAACTAATTTTCTCCTATCGGATTCTGAGGATTTATTTTTAAAGTAATTCGATACCAATATATCGAATCATTCCTATCATGAGATAAAGCTAACCAGACAATGATTTCACTACAGTGCAGGTAAAATTCGAAATACATTTATTAACATTACAGGAGAATCGCCATAAATTCAAAAAGAGCGAAATGTTAGTAATTACAATGCAATGGTATTCTACAATATAGTCCTTGACGTCGTTCATAATATTGATATAATGAAGTGATCATTGCAAGAAATGTTGTAAGTCCGCTTTGATAAATCATACTGAGCATCGTAAATAATTAATATTAACTGTACATTTATGCCCAAATCTGCACGAACCTTACCCTAAAATATACGGTTAAAATAGCAATGCAATCAGAAGCGACTGCAAATTATAGCTCTGGTAACAGTATGATGTTGCCAATTTCGTAACAAAAGGAAAAAGACTATAAATTGCATTATATACAGTATAGTACGTCATGACTTCAAATTTCCTTGACAGAAAGGAGTAAAACATATTTCTTCAGTTATTAATTAATTATTTATCATAATTACCAGTCTTAATTTAATAGTATACGTATAATACAAATTCTAAAATCTAAGATTTAAAATCTGTTCATAGAATGACTTCGTCCTACAACAGTTGCATAAGAATTTACCATTTTTAAGATCACATCAATATTATAGGTTTAAAAGAGAATAAAAGTTTGTATCACGGCTTATCTCATCCACCATTTTCAGGCTTTATTCACAAGATGTACCATTGCTAGAAGCAGTACTGTCATTCCATTTCGTTAATGTAGCCATAGATATTTCAATACAACTTGCACTAATTAAAGTGTAGTCATACAGATTAACTAAGTGCTGTAAGAAGTTTCTTTGTAAACCTTTCTTTATCATCACTGTAGCATACTCTTGTGCAAAAGTTTCGCAAGCATTTGCCACTTGACCATCTGCAATATATCTGTGCGACAAAAACGTCTTAATTTGTAACATAGGTGTATATTGTATCTAAACTACAAGTTTTACGGCTAATCTAAGAAAGAAGATCAATTAAAATTCTAGACATCCTTGTCTTCGCAAAATACCTGTTATTGCTCATAATATGTCCATTCCATAGCTTCATTAGTTCTTTCTCACCTTGATTGACGTCTGTAAATTCATCAATCATCTAAGCGGAAAAATGAACATCTATTAACTTCTTTATTGTACAATTAATCACATATCAATTAGCACAGTATTTGTCGTATTTTGCAAGCATACACTTTCGGATTTGTGTCTATGCCAATTAGGATACAATTCATCTTCACTGTCTTCATCCAATTCTCTCTCATGCATGCATTGGCCAGAATGCGAATGATAGTAAGATCTAATAATTTTCAACATAATTACACGGTCATAAAAAAAATTTTACACTTTAGAGTATTGATAAAGAGTAGATCAAAGTACCTATCTAAATTTCTGCCAAAGGTATTAATATATGACTCGTCGGGTTCTAAAAATTCTGTTAAATCAGGTAAGGGATTGCAAGGTCTTTCCAACCATTTTCAAGACAGCGCACATAGTTAAGGAGACGTTATTTTCGTTATCGATAGATTACGTAAACAATGAAGAATAAATTTAAAATTAAATCCATAAGCCTACTTATAAGTAATCAATTCGCTTGCAGACAACTGATATGTAGGACCATTTCTATAAAACGCATATCCAATTCCATTATTTGTTGCCAAGTGGTAGTTTTCATTAATACTGACGTCTATCAAGGCACCTTTCTTCAAGCGCTATAGGTATATTCGTTAGAAATGGGAAAAAAGGCAGTTTTAAACGATTCAAATACGATTACTATGACTATCATTCTAAGATCTGATAAATACAATAAGTCATTGTCAGATATTTAATTACCACTGAATCAGTCAGTATTCCACTTACCATGTAAATGAATGAAAATCGAGCATGACAAAGCCTCAAATGTTTTAAAAGACAGTAAAGAATAACACAATCCACTTGACACCATGGACAATAGTAGTCATTACGGGATTCAGTTTGCTGCTTTTTATAATTGCTATATACAAATTGAAAATATACTTTTTCTCTTTTAGCTAGTTGTCTTTTGCCATCGGGGCTAGTAGGATTTTTTTGCTGTGGCATACTTTTACCAAATTTACGCCAATCCATATTATCGCGTATTGGATAATAGAAATTAGGATCATTATCACCATCCCATGTGACACGAAGTTTTAATTTAGGTGTCTCTTCGAAAGCAAGGATAGGTCCGCAACCCTACATGCAATTAAACCAAGCTCAAAAGTTACTTACCATTTTATGATATGATTTAAATAAATTATAATAATATAATTTAATTATATTCTACCTTGGAATCTTTCACTCCTTCCCAAGAGAAATCCTCACTAAACGTATTACCATCATCAGTTGAATGGTTCTTGGTCTCCCTTAAAGATAGCTCATAGATCCCATCTAACAGATGGCATCGTTTCTTATCGTCGAAAATGATCACTTCAGCAATGTAATATCTCCCATTCGATGATTCTGCTACGAAGGAAATTTAAACAATTTTTTAACATACTAAAAGTAAAGAAGGACACTGATCACACCATCCTATTACTATGCTCCCATTACTTGAATCTTTAGTCATTTTGCCTGATACACGTAAATTTTTATCTGTAGAAACAGTTGCTTGTACCCTCAAAGTACAATTTTTTAACGAATGGCCATTGTTTTGCAAAAAGTCGTTACAAGGTATAGTTAACATTCCAAATTCAGTAGATAGTGGCTTCGGATTGCACGGGATCGTCATTTTCGTTAACCGTTGTTTAACAATAGGAGTACTAGTATCCTACAATACCAAAAAAGTAGATAGCAATTTAATTCAGTATCGACTAATCTAAGGGCTACTAGACAATACTGATGAATCTTAAAATTGCTAGGACGTTTATCCCATGCTCCCATAGCATACCTTTCGTTCACGATGAAAGATTTTAATAAGATAAATTTCGATACGTGCAGAACGAGCGGTAATAAATTTCTGACCATTATTACCATGTGCTAAAAACGAAGGAATATTACAACGTTAGATCAAGTCGTAACAAATTGACATTTTCGTTTATTGATACGGTGTATAAAAGCGTAAGTTGTAAAGAATTTGCAGTGACATTTTTGGCCAGTGACTGAGTATCAAGTGCTGTAATTATTAGCCAATCTTGCCTTTATTAAATTAATGGCTATAAATGCATCTATAGAGCTTCATAATTACCTATGCCATTAAATAATCCAACAAATGCCAATTTCAACTGGTTAGTGTTATTCCTGAATAGGAAATATAAATGCAAGTATAAATAAAAGCATGAAAGCAATATAAGCGTAAAATATATATAAAAAAATAAAACTTTATAGTCCAAACTATCTAAATTAGAAAATACAAGAGGTCAACTATCATTCAATCCAAGTCAATGTAAATAAATCCATTGACTTTTATTCCAAAGATTATCCAAATACTACTTTTTAAGACTTACTGATCATCTACTTTCAAGCGATTCGATTTTAACATCACTTTATCAAGGATAGAATCAACCTTATATTCAGACCTATTCAATATGAATATCCAATCAAGAAAAATTCAAGCATAATTGCAATCCAATGAATGCTTTGGATAAAGTAGCGACATTACAGACTGTACAATAACGAGTACGTTAATTCATTTATTGCAAAAACTGGGTATAACATTAAATTACTGCATTTAGCTACTGTAACTCATAGCTATGTCAACAGTTGTTATCGTCATATCTGGCTACGTATTAACTGTTCAAAATTGAATATATTACCGTATCTTAATCGAATAGGTGAACATTACTAAAAAGAAAGAATGTATTTTGTCTATACTAATCAGAAATAATTCTAACTTGAAGTAAGATTAATCCGATGACACTGTAAAAACATAAATAGCGTCCGGTGGAGTGAATTTTAATTACATTTTAAAACAAGATTACAAAGGAAGGAAACCTTTTCCATTACTTGAAATGGCTAGGACTAAATGTTTAATTACAGTAACCTAAAGATATCATGTTACTAATTTACTGGAAATAAGCATGGCCTATACGTATGTCGTAACTCATCACCAATTCTATACTATTATTTACCTTGGCTGGCGTTTTGTCTTTCGCCAATTTCGACGTCGATATTTCATATAGGCAAGGTTACGATGTAAAAAGACCGGCTGCATGCAAAGTATTGACAACAGTTGATTAATAAATTATCAAACGATTGTAAACATTTTACTAGCTTTCAAATATCCTTATTACAATGCACTCAATAAACTGTATAATTGCCATAGGACTTGCATATCGATGGATCGATATATCATATTTGACTTTTAATGAAGAATGTAGTTACATAAACTGATTTATTACATCATCATTGGTTATAGTGAAGATACAGCTATTTACAGTTATATAATTGCCAAAGGAGGACTTGCATATCGAAACATTATATTGACTTTCAATGAAGAATGTAGTTTAATATACTGATTTATGATATCACCATTGGTTATAATGAAGATACAGCTATTTACAGTTGTATAATTGCCAAAGGACTTGCATATCGATACATCATATTGACTTTCGATGAAGAATGTAGTTTAATAAACTGATTTATTATATCACCATTGATTATAGTGAAGAGACAACTATTTACATATTATTGTACTTTTACAGCAAATAATCTTACCAAGACATCGTTTCTAGCCTTTAGGAAGCGATAAATTTGTGTCGGCTCTATAGAAATTATAAATATTATATCAATTATGATTCTTCCACTACGTCATACCAAGAATAAATCAAGATAGGAGAAGGAAAGAGTGTCCGGTTGAGTAGTCAGGCTAATTTTTTTCGGTGTGTCTTTGGTCAAGGTGTATGATTGAATGAGATAGTTTGTAAAGTCTAGCATCACTGACTAATTTGTGTATTCAATCTGACGACTTTCTACCATCACTGTATGAAATAGCATCCTTCATTTGTTGATCACGGTGCTACAGTATTACTCAAGTTAAAAACTCTCGCCCAATGCCTATTTAAATACTTTATTAACACAGTACACTATCGATCTAACTCGATCGAACCCTAATAAAGGAAAGGTTACAAAAAGAATGAGTGAACATCTTTGGTACCTATCACCATCAATTAATGAAATTCCTCATCGCCAATTTATTATTATGTACTACAACATCATCATGACACATAACCTGGATATTTCCAATTGTCTCAGACGAGGATGTTATAGTATCATTCTTCAATCCTAAACTAAAACATGCTTCTTCCTTAATTTCGATTGTAAAAGGTAAAAATAATATTCTTCATAGGCTATTCAATACGGTTCAATAGAGTGGGAAAGTTTATTCACCATGTTCTGACGATTCTATCCTTTCCTTTAGTAGAGAAATACAGGAGACAATGTTGAGGGATAAAACTGAAACTATTGTTCCAACGGTGGCACCCATTATTAGCCTTGATTATGGTTTCTTATAGTTAATATAACACAGTAAGGTTGATGACAATTTAATAATGAATGAGTTTGATTTATAACCATCCGAATAGTTTCATTTTCTTGCAACAGCAAGACACGATGCAATCCTTTCTCGATTAGCATATGAACAATTACTATGCTTGATGGTGTCTAGAAGGGTAATTTTTCATTCTATACGTTTACTCTTGGCTACTGTCTACGTCGAATTTCCAATCGATCATAGCCATATCGTCAGCCATGACTAAAGGGGAAGAGAAAAGGTCTCGCTTAATAGGTTTTAAGTATGAACAATATTCTACAACCGAGATGATTGCCAAGATGCCATAAGAATACGTTGAAATGATGCCAACCTTATTCATACGTTAAGGTAAAACAAGGGATCAAGATTTATGACTAATAAACGAATTGAGTATGAGTAGGTGCGTGATGACTAGTCAGGGTTGATGACAAGAAATGGAGAGGGCTTCATTTTATTGGATTATCAAGTCACGATATTCTGATCCATTTTGAAATTACGATTTGTATTTGCCAAAGTCTACGTAAGATAGAGTATTAACCCCCATTACCTTAGGTTCACTACGATCAAACTGAACCATTGGATAGGAAAATTCTAATCAAGATGGATATTACTTTCAATCAAGGCTTCATTTCCTATCATCCATCGACAATATACTCTCTATTTTTGAACCAGTTGTAGCTTCTATTGCTTTATCATACGTTACTTTCCATAATGTAACTTTTAAACAATTGAATGATAAAATTCGAATCCAAATGCATATCGGTCGGCTACCACTATTAAATAGGTGTTTGAAAGGACGCCTGCTTTCTCTATTCATTCGATAGCCAAGTGTAAAAAGTGTTGCAGTAAGATATGTTGCCTTGGATGATTTGATTAAAATCATTGATGGACGGGGTAGCTAAAAAAAAGATGTATCAGTATCTCCAATGGATCTGAACAGATTGAATTTTATCCTATGGTCGGTTAAGGGTATGGGATAACCTTGACTAGGTTTGTCTGCTTTTTCACACGATAGCAACGACAATGGGAAAGGATGCATGTACTAAAGTATACAAGTAGGCAAAGGAGAGAAATGTTTGCCTTATAGTAGCTTGTTCTCTATGATGGAATGGAACTAATTTGTAAAGGAAAGTGCGATGGGAATGCATGAACAATGGATACCCATTAGGGAAGTGAATATTTTTCATTTGGTGGACAACCGGCATGCCTGGATATTTAATGAGATTCGTCAAATTTTCCTACGACAGTAAATTGAATTTGATCCTAGGGTCGATAATGAGCAACGGACTGCTTAGATTCGTCTTATTCCCATAGAATTGCTACTCCAACGACAACGAATAGGATCAAGTCTAGACTGTCTAATCAAGCCATGGGCGAGATTGATTGCCTTACTGGACTTTACTTTGAACGATCAAATGGAAAAGGGGATCAACCATGTCTCAACGGTAGGCATCGATCAGGGAAGTTGAATGATGATGCTATTGGGTCAACAACGAATCGCTTTATTCTTAATCCAAACTTATTACCGTAAAAAGATTGCTACTACAACGACAACAAAAGCGATCAAGCTGCATTGCTTTAACAACATCGTTGACGATGAAATGGAAAGGGAGATCAATATGTTTCAACGATGGCCATGCATCGGGGGAAAAGTGAATGGCATCCCGGAAATATGGACAACGGCCATGGATAGGATTTGTCTCATTTCCATAAGATTGCTACTCCAATGACAACGCATGGGATCAAGTCTAGACTGTCTCATCAAGTCCAGAGCAAGATTGATTGGCGTACTTTACCATGAAGGATCGAATAGAAACAATTTGTCACCAAAGTGCCAATCAGCAATCTCTCAACGACAGGCACCGACAGGGGAAATTGAATTACGCTATCCTTGGGTCTACAACCCAATGCTTTCCTACAGTATTCATCAAGATTTGTTTGCTCGTAAGATTGCTACTACAACAACAAGTTATGAGATGAAGTCAAGAACGCAATGAGTTGCATTACTCATCGTTGTAACCGATGAAATATAAACTGAAAATGGAACCGATGAAGTAGAAGTTGAACAGGGAACCGATCAAGTAGAAATTGAACAGGGAATCGATCAAGTAGAAATTGAACAGGGAAGCGATGAAGTAGAAATTGAACAGGGAACCGATGAAGTAGAACTTGAACAGGGGACCGATCAAGTAGAAATTGAACAGGGAATCGATCAAGTAGAACTTGAACATGGAACCGATCAAGTAGAAATTGAACAGGGAATCGATCAAGTAGAACTTGAACATGGAACCGATGAAGTAGAAATTGAACAGGGAACCGATGAAGTAGAACTTGAACAGGGGACCGATCAAGTAGAAATTGAACAGGGAATCGATCAAGTAGAACTTGAACATGGAACCGATCAAGTAGAAATTGAACAGGGAACCGATGAAGTAGAACTTGAACAGGGGACCGATCAAGTAGAAATTGAACAGGGAATCGATCAAGTAGAACTTGAACATGGAACCGATGAAGTAGAAATTGAACAGGGAACCGATGAAGTAGAACTTGAACAGGGGACCGATGAAGTAGAAATTGAACAGGGAACCGATGAAGTAGAACTTGAACAGGGGACCGATCAAGTAGAAATTGAACAGGGAATCGATCAAGTAGAACTTGAACATGGAACCGATGAAGTAGAAATTGAACAGGGAATCGATCAAGTAGAACTTGAACATGGAACCGATCAAGTAGAAATTGAACAGGGAATCGATCAAGTAGAACTTGAACATGGAACCGATCAAGTAGAAATTGAACAGGGAACCGATGAAGTAGAACTTGAACAGGGGACCGATCAAGTAGAAATTGAACAGGGAATCGATCAAGTAGAACTTGAACATGGAACCGATCAAGTAGAAATTGAACAGGGAACCGATGAAGTAGAACTTGAACAGGGGACCGATCAAGTAGAAATTGAACCGGGAATCGATCAAGTAGAACTTGAACATGGAACCGATGAAGTAGAAATTGAACAGGGAACCGATGAAGTAGAACTGAACAGGGGACCGATCAAGTAGAAATGAACAGGAATCGA